CCGTGACCAAGCATGTCCCGAAACAACTCGTTCACAAAGGACTGGAAAACGGATGGAGCATTCATCAAACCGTAGGGCATCACCAGGTATTCATAATGCCCTGAGGTTGTGCTGAATGCTGTTTTCCACTCATCCCCTTCCCGAATACGCACCAGGTTGTAGGCACTCCTGAGGTCTAATTTCGTGAAAAAACGGGCCCCATGCATTGACTCAATCACTGAAGGAATGAGGGGAAGAGGATAACTAAATCGTACCGTCACCTTATTCAGTGGTCGATAATCAATGCACGGGCGTAAACCGCCATCTTTCTTCTTCGCAAAGAAGAAACTCGAGGAAGCAGGTGAAGTGGAGGGACGTTTATACCCCTGGCGCAGGGACTCGGTGACGTATGTTTCCATAGCCTCCGTTTCAGCCTGCGACAGGGGATACACATGATTCCTGGGAGGTACAACATCTACCCGAAGGTTTATCGTGCAATCCCCCTCCTGATGAGGTGGTAATTTAGTAAATTGCGTCTTGAAAAACGCGAGCGCCAGATCATGGTATTCGGGGGGAATGCACACGGTGGGGGTACCGTCTGGACTTTCCACCATGGTCGCACCAACGGAAACACCTAGACACCTACCCGGACACTCACCACTCCGTAAGAACCCTCTGCGGCCATGAAAAATTGGGGTTGTGAAGGTGATATGCTCAACATGCGTCTCCTGTGTAATCATGGTGACTGGTACAGTAACCTCCTTAACCAACCCAGACCCTAATGGTCGACTATCAAGCACTCTGATGGGGAGTGGAATGGATAGGGGAACCAATGAAATGCCTTTATGGCGTGCAAATGCCCTGTCCATAAAGTTCCCAGCTGCGCCTGAATCGACTAGCGCCTTACACTGGGAAACTACCAGGTGATCGGGAAAGGAGATAGATAACGTACAGTGCGCCGCAAAGGGCCCTGAACAAGTTTGGGTGTTCGTTACCTGGGGTGATGCGTGAGTACCCTGCCTACCGCCTCCAGACCCAAAGGAACGTTTACTGCGACGTGAGGTGGATTGTCCCGTCGTGGCACTGTCGCTGTCCTCCTGCGCTCTCTCGACCGGCGGCTCCCCCTAGCTCCATCTGCTCGGGGTCAGAGACATCCGGAGTGAAAACGGGCAGACCCCTACCAGGACGTCCTCTGGCTGCTAGCAGATTGTCCAGCCGGATAGCCATGTCCACCAGTTGGGAGAAAGATAGCATGGCAGCACGGCAGGATAGCTCCCGTCGGACATCCTCCCTTAGGTGGCACTGTAAATGGTCGATCATGGCCCGCTCGTTCCACCAGGACCCCGCTACCAGCGTCCGGAACTCCAGCGCGTAGTCCTGTGTGGTCCTTGTCCCCGCCTCAGGCGGGTGATCGAAAACGGTCCGAAAGAGGCGAGCAAACTCCCTGTAGTCCTCCAACGCGGCAGCTCCCTCGTTCCACACCGCGTTGGCCCACTCCAGGGCTCTCCCACAAAGGCAGGAAACGAGGACGGATACCTTCTCCCACTCCAGTGGCGCCGGCCTGATGCTGGAGAAATACATCTCTAGTTGGAGCAGAAATCCCTTACATCGCACTGCCATCCCATCAAACGCCGGTGGCCAGGATATCTGGATCCCTCCAGGGGCTGGGGTGTAGGTGGCTGGATCCGGTTGACCAGCTGGTCTCGATAGAGCGGGTCCTCTCTTCTCCAGGCGTTGTACTACCTGAAGAACCCAATCCATCGCATCCCCCAAGCTGGCCAGCATCGAGGAATGCTCCTGGACCCTTGCCACAACTCCAGGCATGCGGTCTTCTCCTGCTGACTCCATATCAGATCAGGTGAGTGATTCTGTGACGAGGTGTGAATGAAGGAGTCAGGCGCAGGAGGTAAAACACCGAAGTCCAGAGTTTATTCCGTTTACATAAATAAAACGAACCCAGCGTCAAAACGAAACTATCACAAGGGAAATATTCCACCTTGGCAATAACAAATGGAAGAGTAGCTCAACCGAGCTACTCGCTCTCACGAATATAATCACTCACAAAGACAAGGGGAACAGAGGGAGCACTTATACACATACTAATTAGGGGAATGAGCACCAGGTGTGTGTGATTGACAAGACAAGACATGACAAGTGGAGTGATGAGAATAGGATCGGCAGTAGCTAGTATCCGGTAACGACGAACGCCGAAACCTGCCCGAACAAGGAGGGGAGGCAGCCTCGGCGGAAGTCATGACAGGTGCATGCATATGCATTCACCCCCTTTGCTATGAAGCCCCTAAATAAGATCTGGTGCAACCAATTACCTTCAGAAGTCACATAATTAGTGAAATAAAGTCCACCTGTGTGCAATCTAAGTGTCACATGATCTGTCACATGATCTCAGTGTATATACACCTGTTCTGAAAGGCCCCAGAGTCTGCAACACCACTAAGCAAGTGGCACCACCAAGCAAGCGGCACCATGAAGACCAAGGTGCTCTCCAAACAGGTCAGGGACAAAGTTGTGGAGAAGTACAGATCAGGGTTGGGTTGTAAAAAAATATCAGAAACTTTTAATATCTCACGGAGCACCATTAAATCCATTATTAGAAAATGGAAAGAATATGGCACCACAACAAACCTGCCAAGAGAGAGCCGCCCACCAAAACTCACGGACCAGGCAAGGAGGGCATTAATCAGAGAGGCAACAAAGAGACCAAAGATAACCCTGAAGGAGCTGCAAAGCTGCACAGTGGAGATTGGAGTATCTGTCCATAGGACCACTTTAAGCCGTACACTCCACAGAGCTGGGCTTTACGGAAGAGTGGCCAGAAAAAAGCCATTGCTTAAAGAAAAAAAGGCATGTGGGAGACTCCCCAGACATATGGAAGAAGGTACTCTGGTCAGATGAGACACAAATTGAGCTTTTCAGCCATCAAGGAAAAAGCTATGTCTGGCGCAAACCCAACACCTCTCATCACCCCGAGAACACCATCCCCACAGTGAAACATGGTGGTGGCAGCATCATGCTGTGGGGATGTTTTTCATCGGCAGGGTCTGGGAAACTGGTCAGAATTGAAGGAATGATGGATGGCGCTAAATACAGGGACATTCTTGAGGGAAACCTGTTTCAGTCTTCCAGAGATTTGAGACTGGGACGGAGGTTCACCTTCCAGCAAGACAATGACCCTAAGCGTACTGCTAAAGCAACACTTGAGTGGTTTAACGGGAAACATTTAAATGTCTTGGAATGGCCTAGTCAAAGCCCAGACCTCAATCCAGGGTGAATAGTTACGCACGCTCAAGTTTTCCGTTTTTTTGTCTTATTTCTTGTTTGTCTCACCCAAAAAAATATTTTGCATCTTCAAAGTGGTAGGCATGTTGTGTAAATCAAAGGATACAAACCCCCCCAAAATCAATTTTGATTCCAGGTTGTAAGGCAACAAAAAATGAAAAATGCCAATGGGGGTGAATACTTTCGAAAGCCACTGTAACAACAGGTCTGGCCTATGTTAAAAGTGTTTAAAAAAAGTTTAAAGCATGCATTAGTTTTTAAGCCTATGTTAAATGATGCTTAAAATGATTAAAAGACAAAAAAACGATTGTGATTGTGTTGAATTGTGTTTGGGAAATAGAGATAGACATGAACCAGGTTTCCATTCAACCTTTTTGCGCGCGTAAAGTATGTTGGATAAAAAATGTCATGACAGGCCTGATGGAAACAGAACATTTGTCTGTAAAAATGTCCAATTGTCGACAAAAAAAATATGCTAGACAAGGTGGGACCTTTTTGTGTCAGTAAAATAAATTATGCGAGAAATGGTGGTGGAAACGCTTTTATGCGCAAATATTGATATAATAACCATCATATCTAAGTAAACTTGGAATCACGCGATGACATGTTGTGTGGTCCTCCCACTACAACTCGTCGGGAGAACATGCAGTTTATTAGGCTTCAGATTAAATAAATATTGAGGGTTTTATTCTGGTGACATGATGATCGATGCTTGGCTGTCATTTGACAAATAAAAAGAACCTCGCTCTTTTGTCCATAACAATCTCATCATATAGTCAATTTGATGGAAATATCTCCGGTGGGAAAATACGCATATTGTTTTTATGCGGATTATAGAAAATATTTGCATGAAAATCTGTCGCCAATCGGATGGAAACCTAGCTATGGTTTTAAAAAGGTAGTGGTAATATTTCATTCAATACAGAAATTTGTAGGCAGCTTAACTTACCCCTTGTGCCAAGAGACCAATTCTTTGGGACAAGCTATATTTTCAATACTGTAATGTTTACATGAATTCTGATTATTTCCAGGGATACACAACATCCTGAAATATATGTCGATATCTTTGTTAGAAAGAATACTATCTTTCCCTTGACGGAGTGATGCCGAATGTAAAACATTTATCAATTATACACCACTCTCCCCTACTCTGTAATGCAGTTTAATGAGGTACAGGTTCCTAATCTAGACCACTAATGTATGTTTGATATAGGTGGGTTGGTTGTTTAGCAACAAAACTGACACGTACGCAACTATGGGGCAAAACAGACGGGCTGGCTTAGATTGTTGACAAGTTAACTATATTTTGCCTCCAAATGCTTATTGAAAACATAAATACATTTGCACAATGAGCACTTGTTGTTTCTCAAATACATCATTACAGTTGCTGGTTAGCTAGCTAGCGAATTTTTGCCATATTAGCATAGACATGACATGAGTCAAAACACCTCAAAACAAGACATGGTATCAATAATAAGGTACTACGAGCTCAAACGAGCCACCGACTATTCTCCACATGGCAGCTTCTTGTCATTGTTGCTAACTATCTGACCGTTCAGAATCATAATATCACACAGCCTTCTGCCTCAATGATGCGCGCGCATTATTTTTGTAACGTTGTCAGTCAACCCATCTATAAGGCAACAGCCTCACTGTGCAGTGCTCTTACCCAACTTCCACAAGATCCCATATCCATGTCTCAGGGAAGAACGTACGGACCGTCTCTATGGGTGGCGGAGGTGGAGCGGCACCATATCCGCCTCTGAGTAATCCAACTTGAGCCACTGGAAATCCCTGACCTGATGCACCCGTTTCAAGGCTGTCCATTTCTACAATGTGGGAGTAGTGTCTGGTGGGTATTCCTAAAACAAAACAGTCATTATTCTCGTGTTAGAATCAGCCTGGTCAAACCAGACCGAATGCTGCGCTCACTGGTGATGCATGCAGCGTTCAGACTGGTTTAACCAGGCTATGTTAGAATAACAAAAACCATGCATTTCCCAAGATTCACCAAAGACTTCTGGCAATGACGAGAGTAAGCGGTGTTAAGGAGGACATCTCACCATAGGATCGATGGTACTGGTTCCCCTTGTAATTTAGGCAGGAAGGTACTCTTAGAACCAGATTAGTTGCCAGCTTCAGTCCCAGTTTCTAGAAATGTAAGAATCACAAACAAGAGAGCTCAATATTAATGAATGTCTCAGTTTTATTTTTCTATTCTATATGTTTTTTTGTTGTTGCCTCAAACAGGCTATTTTAGCAATGTATAATTTAAGAAGATGAATGCATGGTAACAGTTTGGTAACTGATTCTTATGAGAGAGAGGAAAAGAGGCTTCAAGTTAAGAGAAAACAAGGCAGAAGTTACCTGAAAAACTTCATAAGGTTCCTTTTTCTCCTCAGTTAGTCCATCTGGGTATGGCATTACATATCTCCTTGGTCTTACACGTAAACATGCTACTGGATCTTCAAGCTCGTAGGGAATGTATGTTGTCTCCTTGACTGGTAACAAATCAAATATCTGGAATGGGATAATAAGGAGACGTGAAATGACCTTGTTCATTGGGCACCAAACAGAAGGCAGTGACTACTTAGACTTGTCTAATTTCATTTTCCATTGCTAAACGTTTTTAAAATGCTTTCCGTGCCCTGATGAACACAACCCAGAATATGAACTTATTAAAGTCACACTATGCAGAAATCGCTCCTCCATTTCCTGGTTGCTAAAACTCAAATAGTTCACCTAATTTCAGTTTATGTGACAAAATAGCCTAGTATAGTGTAGAGAATCATTGTACCATCTAAACCGCTGTGAAATATATTTTCCATAACCATAAATATTGTTGTTTCAGCTGTTTGAAGATGGTGTACAAACCCAAAAGTAAAAGATGCAAAAACAAAACTTAAGAACGGGGACCATAGAAATAGCACACATAGAACAGATACACTGCTTCTTAGACTTGCTTTCAAGTAGATCTATTACTCACATTTCTATGTGAATTTGGTTGAATTCAGGTCGCCCAAAAAGTTACATATTGCCCCTTTAAGTACCAATAGGGATATGCTTTCCAGTTGATGAAAGCACACCCATTGGCCCACTGTGAACAGACCCACTCCAAGTCTGCTGTAGTCACATCTTATTCCCCTGAAGCTGGTTGTATTCCCAGCACCACAAAAGCTGTTTATATGGTGGTATGACCGTTGACATTCACTTCAGTGAGCTCTGTTACCTTGTCAGCATCCAGCCTCTTCCCTGGCTCCATGATGTGAACACTCTTGTCCACAGTGCTGAGGCCACAGAGGGAGCCGGGCTGGGCCGAGAGCTGCAGGGTGTTCTCCTCCCCTGGGACCGCTTTTGAGGGTGAGAACTCCACCAACACCTGGCACACATGACATACACAAGTGTACATGATACACCTTTAGTGTACACAATATCTTTGTGATGAGGGTATGACACACACAGACACATGCACACTGTAAAAACGGACAGCTCATCTCCTTTCCAAGACCCCAACTTTCTTTTGGTTTTCTTATTGAAATAAGGTCACGCCAATCATCATAATTGTATCAGCCAATCAGCAGCCTTTCCCCCGGGACTTAGCATAATACCTGACCAGCCAGGGCCTCAGACAGTCTGTAGTTTCCATTCTGATGACAACCAATTTTTCTCTTCTCTTATTCTACCTCCTTAGAACAAATTGCTTTTCTTTCTGATGTTTTATTGAAGGTGCAGCTAAATGTAAGTCCCAAAATCCTGTCTGTTGTAAATATGTACCATTTGTGTTAAACTTGGTAGCTAGCTAGCTCGCGTACTCCCGCTAGCGTTAGCATTAGCATTGTCATCCGGAATGCATTACTATTTAGCATGCATATTAGCGATTAGCATTTGTTAGCATTTGTCTGTGGTGCTAGGCTATTTTCGGTTGTAGATCGCTCATGCTTATTATGTTTTATAATTGTGTAGATATTTCTACATTGCTCTGTTGTTTGTTTGTGCATCTAGCATGTGTTTGGGTCCACATAGCCTGTTTAGTTTGTAGGCATATTTTTCCCATACTGTGCTATAGCCTAAGTTCTCCTCTTTTCTTTGCAGAACCACAATTAGTATCAGAGAGGGTGGTGTTGTAATTGTGTGTGTGGATCTTCATTAAACCATTGAACTGGAACTACTGCATCCTCGTGTTCTGAACGGACACCCTGTGGTGGTTGCTACCGGCCTAAAATCCAGCACCTAGGTTTTTTATCCCTTTTTATTGGTCCTTCGAATTCATAAACAACCCATATTTTTCATGGTCCTTACGAGCAGGATGCAGTAACTGCCAGAGTCCAAGGATGCCAGTCACCAGAGAAGATCCTCCACAAGTTGTGGTTCGTCCCACCGTCAGACTCGCCCCCCACATCGTCTGGTCGACTATGAGGTATGCTACGAGTCAAGGCAGACGATCACCACACACACAACAACACACCACTCCAACGAGGGACCACGAGCAGAGGGCACTGTGAGTGGAATTAATTACTCTCACAACAAGACCAGCAGCAGCTACCTTCCTGTACAAGATGAGAGAGAAACCCGTTCTTCTTCCAGAACAGTCATAACATGCCTGAAGCTGATAGGAGTGGAAACTGAGAAGTTGACACGGGAGATAATGGAGCTATCGGAAGAGCTAAATTAATCAGCTTCAATGGGTCCCCAACAGTTCAAGTCACTACCCAGGCTGACCCGCAACAGTGAGAATGGAGCCTCACCTTCATCGGTTGCCAACTCACCGGCCCCCCATAGCAGGCGCACCTTGACTAGAGATTGTCATCATCAAAGTCAGCCTAAGCGGGCACAGCTGGTGACAACCAGAGATGATAAACTGCAGGCACAAAGGCAGCTGGATAAGATAGAGCAGCTCATTGAAAACCTTGGGATCAGAGGGCTCTCCTTTTCAGACCAGTCATCCTCATCCTCATCATCTACTCAGTCAACCCCTCGCCGTCGTGAGCCATCGCACCAGCGAGACCGATCGTCTTCTCATTGCAGGACTCGTAGCCCTACTGCGCCACCTAGAGGGCTGACTTCACATGATCGCCAACGTCAGCCCTCACCTAACCGCTGCGGTCAGCCTACACTTGATCGCCAACATCAGCCCTCACCTAACCACTGCGGTCAGCCTACACCTGATCGCCGTCGTCAGCCCACACCTGACCGTCACCGCCGCGACTACTCACCTAATCGTTATGGTCAGCCTACACCTGATCGCCGTCGTCAGCTCACACCTGACTGTCGCCGCCGCGACTACTCACCTGACCGTCATGACTACTCACCTGAACGCTGCGGTCAGCCTACACCTTATTGCCGTCGTGAGCCCACACCTGACTGTCACCGCTGCGACTACTCACCTGACCGTCGCGCCGTGACTACTTACTTGACCGTTGTTGTCAGCCCTCACATGACCATCGCTGCTGCGACTACTCGCCTGACCGTCGCCGCCGGGCCTACTCACCTGATCGTCGTTGGCACTCACCTGTCCGCTACCGCACACCTTCTCCACCCAGCTGAGAGTGCACCTACCATGGACTAACTCCTACCATCCCCAACTTCATCAATGAATACCCACGAGAGTTTGCAAGACTGAAGTTGGCCCTCGACAATGTGCTGCCTGTAGATGCAACAGAGTGCTTCAAGTTTCAGATATTGTTGGACCACCTGAAGTTGGAAGAGGCTTTGCTAATTGCCAACTCCTACAGCAACAGCAGGTACACATACAGTGACACCATGGAGTCCCTCACAGAACTGTATGGCCAGCCCCACCTGTTTGCCCTCCAATGCATTGCAGGGTTAATGGATGGCCCCAACATCAAGAAAGGTGACACCAAGGCATTCCGAACATTCGCTCTGAGGATGTGCTTGGTTGGCATGTTGGATCAGCTAGGTAGTAATGGACAGACAGAACTGAGGTGTGGATCACATGTCTCTCGCCTCTTAGCTAAGTTATCACACAACCTAAGAGTCAGCTTCAAGAGATGTGTGAACCCCATCAAGACACCCATTCCAACCCTCCTTCACCTGGCAGAGTGGCTTGAGTACGACGTGAGAGTACAAGTAGATGGCACACAGTTCAGTAGCGACCAAAGCAGGGACCACCCTAGCTCATGCCGAGATCAACATGAAGACAAATCCTTCCCTAAGACCATCACCATCCTCCACGGGGGTGAGCAGAGAAAGGACAAAGCCGAAGTCTCTGCACAGAACCAATCTCCGGAGGAAAAGTCACGGGAGAAGCCAAATAAGTATTGTTGTTCTGCAACACCATGCAGCATTACATGAATCAATGCACCGACTTTCAGCTCCTTTCCAAAGAACAGAAAGAATCGTGGATCAAGACAAATGAAAGATGTGGGAAGTGTGGACGCGAACACCAAGCAGCTCAGTGTACTCTCAAGGCTAAGTGCAAGAAGTGCGAGAAGAAGCATCTTGAGATTCTCCACGAGGTCAACACTAGTCGGACTGCTACAAAGAACGCTAGCACGAACACTATGAAGACCACCAGCACAAAGGCGCCAACAGAGGCCTGGTGAGCTCCACTGCAGAGACCCTCTACGTTGATCGACCTTCCGGCAGCAGTAAGGTGTTGCTGAAGATGAGTGGAGTCATCTTGCAGAGCAGCAACAAGTCACTTGACACGTACGCCCTGTTGGACGACAGGTCGGAGCGCACTATACCTCTACACGAAGCAGCAGAGCAGCTAGGCCTCCAAGGCAATTCTGAGGACTTGGCACTTCGTACTGTGCGTCAAGATATTTGAGTCATCCATGGAGCTTCTTTGTCATTCTCTGTGGCCCCTGTTACTCAACCAATCCTTTGACATCCACAGAGCCTTCACAGCTGAATAGTTGTGCCTTGCACCGCATACCTACCCTGTCAAAGCCCTTCAGAAAAGGTATCGGCACCTCAAAGTCCTTCCCCTTCAACCGCTGGATCAGGCGCAGCCGCTACTGCTCATCGGATCAGACATTCCCCATCTAATCACCCCGACAGAGCCAGTGCGTTTGGGTCCCCCTGGCGGACCTGCCGCCATCAAAACTTAGCTCAGATGGACCCTTAAAAGTTCCTTCATACATCCCTCGTCTCTCCATCTGCAGAGCTCTTCAGCCATGTAGAGAAGCTCTGGCAGTTGGATACGCTACCATACAGGAGTGAGAAGCTCGTCACATGGTCCAAACAAGATGTAGAAGCCATGCATCTACTGGAGGAGAAGACAGTCAGGGTCGAAATGGACAGGGTTCAAAGGTACGCCACTCCCCTTTTGTGGAAGAAGAACCTTCGTCCCTTGGAAGCTAAACCATGATGATTACCCTGAGGTCTATGAGTGGCAGGTACTTCCCTTTGGGACGACATGTAGCCCCTGCTGCACCACGGTTGCCCTTCGGAAGCTTGCGTTTAACCACAGTGAGCCCAAAGAAGATGTGCGCTTCTCTGTAGAATGCTGTTTCTATGTAGACAACTGTCTACAAAGTCTCCCCTCTGCAGATGAAGCCAAGAAACTGGTGGACAAGTTGAAGCACCTTCTTGCCAAGAGAGCACCCTTGGATTACGATGGCAATGTCTGTCTGACACTCTTGGCTACAAGCACAGTCACATGGAGAAAGTTGAACCCACCATGCGCAACATATATCGGATCCTTGCCAGCCAGTACGATCCACTTGGCTTCATCGTTCCATACACCACACGGCCAAGGTTGTGGTCCAGAGGCTCTGAGACAAGAAAAGAGGGTGGGATGCCCCAGACCTACCTGAAGATCTTCTCCAAGCGTGGCTTATTTGGGAGAACGAACTTCCACAGCTGTCTCAGGTCACACTACCAAGGTGTTACGTCAGCACCGACATGGATCTCCCAACCAGCACAAGAAGTGTTCACGTCTGTTCACTGGGCTGGCGACGCACACCGTAGGCTTGGTGCGTGGAGCAGGGACAGGCCGGACTGGGCTGGCGACGCACACCGTGGGCTTGGTTCGTGGAGCAGGGACAGGCCGGACTGGGCTGGCGACGCACACCGTAGGCTTGGTGCGTGGAGCAGGGACAGGCCGAACCGGGCTGTGGAGACGGATAGGAGGCCTGGAGTGAAGAGCGGCCACCACCCGTCCTGGCTGAATGCCTACCCTCACACACTCTGTGTGAGGCATCCGCACAGGACGTACAGGGCGGTGTACCCCTGGCCTGGTGGACTTCTGGATCCGCCCCCTTTTCTCCTCCGTCAGCCCCGTCGTCCATGCCGTGTGCCCCCCCCTAAAAATTTTCTGGGGTTGCCTCACGACCGTCCGACGACGACCCTGATCACGCCGTAGCTCCTCTCTACGGCGCGCCTCCACCGTCTCTTCTCCCGGCGCTTCCTCCCATGTCCAGCCCAAGAGCTGCCCCTGGACATGCTGCTTGGTCGTTGCATGGTGGGTTTTTCTGTCACGATCGAGGTAAGGAGTAGACCAAGGCGCAGCGTGATGAACAAACATGACTTTAATTAGTTAAAGCGTCAAAATACAAAACAAAACACGACTCGTGACGTCCACGGTATCAATGACCGAACACGGAACAAAAACCCACAACCACAAAGGGAAAACATACAGTTTAAATATGGCTCCCAATCAGAGACAACCAGCCAACAGCTGACACTCGTTGCCTCTGATTGGGAGTCACTCAGGCAAACATAGAATACAACAAACTAGAATGAACACCAACATAGAAATACACACATAGAAATGAACACACCCTGGCTCAACATAATGAGTCCCAGAGCCAGGGTGTGACAGACCACCCATACGTAAAAATGTATGCGCACATGACTGTAAGTCGCTTTGGGTAAAAGCGTCTGCTAAATGGCATATAATTATTATTATTATAAACCCTTGAACTGGAACTACTGCTTCCTTGTGTTCTGAAAGGACACCCTGTGGTGGTTTCTACCGGCCTAAAATCCAGCACCCAAGTTTTTTATTGGTCCTTCGAATTCATAAACAACCCATATTTTTCACATACATATACACACACCTTGTGCCTGAAGCATTTCTCAGTGGGGAAGTTCATGCTGTGGGCGATTACAGTCTCGCTGGGAAGCATACTGTACACCAGGACCTGTATCACTGGCGCCATCTCTGGAACCACTGCCAACTTCAAGGTGACTTCACCCTCAGTTACTGCAACGCAAGAGCATGTCACACTGAGTACCTTTACATGCACAGTAATAATTAGATAGTAAACTGATTATGGCAGTAAACAGATGATGCAATAGTCACCTTACTCTATCTTAATCGGTGTAAAGTCAAAATCTAAGAAAGCATACGCCGATTAAAACACCAGGGGCATGTAAACGTTGGGTATGCACAAAATATGCCCCTAAACATTCATAACATGCGCCAGTTTTCCCTCAAAAGTTGGTATTTATAAAAACTGAACTTGAAGTGAGAATGTGCTTATCCTCCTGCAAACTTCAGACCATGCATGGTTGAAGGATTGCATTGCAAGATGGCAAAAGTAGCCTTGTGCAGGAATATATGACACTCTTATTCATAACAAAAAACGGGTAGCTAAATATAATAATAATAATAATATAATCCGTTTCCCTTAGTGAGCGAAAATCGATTTATTTTATCTTCGCATTCTAAAATAATATGAAATAAATACCTATTTCTAATTATTCATTTCATTACCATAATCATTGCAGAATAAATCCTCACCTTTTCTGACTGTGATGGTTTCATAGGCTACTTGCGAAATAGCCCATAGGCCTACAACAAGTTAGGATAGGCTACCATTCGTCCCATCTCTCATTTCATTGGACCCACTTCACAATAAATAGATACGCTATTTCAAGTATTTTTTCTCTATGTGATCCGAAGCACAGTTCATTGAGCCCACTTCACAATAAATAGATACGCTTTTTCAATTATTTTGCTCTATGTGATCCGAAAACTGATCGCAGACGATTCACCTTTTTCATTTACTTTTGTAGGCGTCTGAATACTGTAATGTCGAATTTCTTGAGTAGACAATATTTTATTTGTAAACATAATACATAAATGATATAATGCAGAATAAATTCCTCACCTTTTCTGGCCATGATGAGTTCATATTCCCGAAGTAGCCATAAAACAAATTACCATGCGCATCTCTCATTTAATTGTGCCTATTAAATAGGCTATTATACTGTCATTTCACATTTTTACTCTAGGCATTGGACAAGGAGCGCGGTTTTAACATACAGTAGAATTTAACAGGTGAACAGCAGTTGACTACCACTGTCAGTAGGCCTACTATAGTTTTCATTTTAGACACTGTTTCAGAATTCGTGGGCAGTGCAGCATATTTATGTTCAGGAAAATATGTATGCAAAACATTATTACATTCAAATGATCTGTTTACAGGTCCACAACCATTTGCAATTGTTTTTTTCTTTCTGAAACGGTCAGATAGTGACATTTGCGGTAGGCTGCAAAAGAAAATATATAAAAAATATTTGTGTGTATGTACAGTCTTTTCAAAAATGGTGCACGCTGATATTTAGAGTTAAATTTACGCAACGGTTATGAATGAGGCCCCTGGTTTTCTGTACAATCTTTCAAATGATTAGGACATGTACACAACTTAATCGGTGATCCAGACATGTAAACACCTTAATAGGTGTTCCAGCAGTGTATTTGATCTGCTCATTTGCTAGCACCAGCCGAGCGATATGCCCTCTTTAGCGCAAGGGACACTACAAACTTTATATATTGAACTCAGAATCAAATATGCTTCCCAAAAATAGCATGGTCACTGAGGTAAAACGTTTATTTTGATTGACAATTTCTGCATTTATCAGAGTGCATCAGTAGCCTGATTTCAGACATCCATGTGAACAGGATTATTAAGGAAAGCGTTCTTCTTGCAAAACATAAACATTTTAATCGAAGTATTATATTAATCTGCCTATCCACAATAATCGCTTTATTGTGTGCATGTAACCATACTCACTGTCATTGTCATCAAGCACCTTCCAGTACGTTCATAATTACTTAATAAAACTTCCTCACCAGGACTCCCCTGCTGCACGGTAACCTTCATGTGTCCATGCTGAACTATTGCCCCTCTGGATAAGGCCTGGAGGAGGGAAAAACAGTTATCCCATCAAGTCAGCAAGAAGGAGATGATGAGGAATGTTGGTGTTGTATAGGGACATCCTTCTTTGAAGGTGAGAGGCTGGGACTAGGTCTGAAATAACCCTGGTCAAAATAGTGCACTAGAGAATAGGGTTCCATTTCAGACACACCCTGGGTTTGCAGGTTGTCACAACTTGTTCCTGGTTCTACTCACCAGGTAGATGACATCCACGGAGCCCTTTGGGACGGTCTCCCCTATGATGGTGTACTGGATGGTGATTGACACTTCCTCCTCACATGCCAGTGGTTTCTCCATCTTCTGAATAGCCAGAGAGCTGGACGTTTTACTGTGAGGGGCAGTGGGCTGGATCAGTGAGAGAATGTGTTGCCCTCTGTTGAAATAGGGGACCCTGTATCTAGTGTTCTCCTCTTGTGGTGTGTTGCTTACCTGGAAAGCAAAAGAGGGAAGAGAGAGTATAACTGAAGGCTCAATCCCAAATCAACCCTTAGAGCTCCGCCTTGCCCTCTGATAGGCTAAGTGGAAGTTCACCATATTGCTTATTATACCAATGGAATCTTCTCAGATCTCCACAAGAACATGATAGGCCCTAGGGTGTAGGGTCAAGGGGGTGATTTGGGAGCATGAAGAGTCTTCAGAGTTTCAGAGTATTTAAAAACCTAGAAGGAATCATACTTACTATGAGGTTAATATTCTCTTTGGGCATACTGGTTGTGTTGAGGGAGAAACTGGCAATACCATGACTGTCCGTGGTTAGGTTCTGGAGACGATGTGAGGACCAGCCTTTCTTCTCCAACAGGTAGACTAACATGTCAGAGATAGGTGTGTTGTTGTAGTGAACAACGTTTATCTGATGAAAAAGGGGGGAAAGTTCTATGAAGTGATGCTACATACGTCACTGTTACCTACCATTGGTAGTTAGGTAAACAGTAATGTCAAAGAGCAAATGGCATCCACAATTCAACAAAGTTCAAGAAACAATAACACTCGATTTGGACTTACCTTGCCCTCAATAATTGATCCATGTTCATAGATTTTGGGTGTGTCGACAAATGTGAGTTTTCCAATCAGATAGGAGAGTGCTATGTGTTTTTCCTCTGACTGTGTAATACCTGTCAAAGAAAAACAAATTATAATAGCATGGTTTATTTCACAACCACACGTGCCACCATGATGCACAATGGCAGTTCACAATGCAGAAGCTGAATTGCAGTGCAGCTTACATAAGATTTAAAAACATTATTAAAAACAGAAAACATTAAATGATGTCATCACTTTTCCCAACTCCAAATTCTTGTGATGAATGACTTGCCTGTCCCCTCCTCCTCTACTTTTGTGTTTAAACTAAGCTTGTCTATGAGCATTTTCTGGCCACCATTCTTTGTGAAAATGGACATGTTGAAGACATGAGAAGCACAGCCAGTTTGATCCATCTGGGAAAAGCAAGCAAAAGCCCACACATTAAGAACTGATTTAAATGAATTTAACCACATCACATTAAAATGTAATATGATGTGAAAACAATTATACTGATGATAGTTTCTTCAGGAAAGCATACAGACCTTTATTGACTCTTTGTGGCATGGGGGTGTATAATCAGGAACTCCTTGTGGATTTTTCTCATCAATTATTATTGGGATGAATACATTGTACCCTAAAGGTCGGCACAACTCTACCTCTGCTTTACCAGGTACAGGCTGTCCATATGTGTATCTGATTTTATTTTCATAATAAAACACATTAAAAACATAAAACATCATACATTTCCTACTTAGAGAGACATAGTATATTATAAACCTCATGTGAGACATTACAAATACAACAACTTATAATGCATTATACCTGCAGGCATTCTTTAAGTCAAGTGTTTTCAACATTGTCAATGCATCTGGACCTGTATTCATAAAGCCTCTTAGTGTATGAGTGCTGATCTAAGGTCAGTGTGATCTTTTGGTCACATGGACAGGGGAGATGTGATCCTAGGTCAGCAATCCTACTCTGAGATGCTTTATGACTACAGGCCCAACTGTTCATGTAAATGCCACTGTCCCAAACTTTTGAATTCTCAGGCTACTCATAGAAGCAATTTATGACATTGAGCAGTAGTAGCATTGTAGGTCTTCAATTAGTATTTGTCATTAGCTCAGACCTGGGTTCAAATACATGCATATTTAAGTATTTGTTTCCAAATACACTATTTCAAATAACCCTAGGACCAAACAGACCTGGGTTCAAATGTATGGAGTATTAAAATAGTTGTATTTTAAATGTATTTAAGTATTTCCAAATACATTCCAATACTGAATTACTTGTATTTTCTAAGAAAAAATATCTGTCACGGTTTCGGCCGAGGCTGCCTCTCTTCCTTGTTCGGGCAGGCGTCGGCGTTCGTTGTCTCCGGAATACTAGCTGCCACCGTTGCATGTTTCTATGTTCGTTTGCTTTTGTCTGTTTGTTGTGACACCTGTTCTCGTTTAGTGTAATTAGTGTCCTATAAGTTTCTCGTTGTGTTTGTCTAGTGTTGTGTGTGATTGATTTTCTGTCGTGTGTTGTGCTTGTATATTATATTACTTATTCGCTCGGTTGAGCTTTACTCCACTGTAAAGCTCAACATGGTTTACGCACATGGTTTGTGCGCCTTTTGTTTTGTCGCCTTCGTGCGTAGTTTCGCCTTCGGGCCAGTTTGTTCGATTTTTCCCTTGTTGGGAATTGCACTAAAGTCTTTTGGACTATACTTCGGTGTCCTGCGCTTGATTCCACCACTACACCCACCTACAGCATTCCTGACAGAATCACACACCTTCAAGAATGGAATCAGCAGGAGCCGCAGCAGCCCAGGCGACGCTGGAGGAAAAGGTCCGTGAACAGAGTGACCAGATCCTGCAGATGGGGTCCGCACTGCAGGAGGTGATCACCACCATCCGAGGCTGGGGGACTCCTCCACCGCCATCCTCTCTGCCAGCACCATCGGCAAGTCAGCCCATTCCCGCTCCGGAACCCAGAGGAGTTCGACTCTCGCTCCCGAGGGCCTACGATGGGACCGCGGCCGGGTGTCAGGGATTCCTTCTCCAGGTGGAGCTGTACCTGGCCACCGTGCACCCGGCGCCCTCGGGACATGAGAGCGTGTCCGCCCTGATCTCCTGCCTTTCCGGGAAGGCGTTGGAATGGGCCAACGCAGAGTGGAGGAGGATCGACGCGGACACCATCACCTACGACGAGTTCTCCCGCCGCTTCAAGGCGGTGTTTGACCATCCCCCGGAGGGGAAAGCGGCGGGGGAGCGTCTGGTCTTCCTCCGGCAGGGGAGGAGGAGTGCCCAGGAGTTCGCCCTAGAATTCCGTACTCTAGCGGCGGATGCAGGGTGGAATGAGCGGGCTCTCATCGATCACTACAGATGTAGTCTACGCGAGGACGTCCGTCGGGAGCTGGCCTGTAGGGACACCAGCCTCTCGTTCGACCAGTTGGTCGACATGTCCATCAGGCTGGATAACCTGCTAGCTACCCGCGGACGTTCCGAGGGGGGTCCGTCCATTTCACCCTCCAGCGCCTCCGAGCCGTGCCCCATGGAGCTCGGGGGCGCTGGCGCTAGAGAGAGGAGGGGTCGGCTTACGAGGGGGTCCATCTCCTGCACCAACTGTGGTCGGGGAGGACACACCGCGGCTAGGTGCTGGGGATGGCCTCCTAGGGGAGAGGACGACAGGTCCCGCACTGGGGAGTCCTTCCAGGTGAGTAGGCGCCCCACTCACCCAGAGCTCTCTGTTGCACATTTCTGTATACCTGTGCGTTTTCCACAGGTAGCACCTCATTCCCAGCATAAGGCTCTGGTAGATTCAGGCGCGGCTGGGAATTTTGTTGATAAGAAGTTTTGTTTAGCCTTAGGGATTCCCCTTCTCCCTGTTGACGTCCCTTTTCCCGTTCATGCCCTAGATAGCCGTCCGTTGGGTGCGGGCTTGATCAGGGAGGTCACTGCGCCACTTAGGATGTGTGCGCAGGGGGGTCATCAGGAGATGATTCAGCTATTTCTGATCGACTCGCCTGCGTATCCGGTGGTGCTGGGCATGCCCTGGTTGAGTACCCATAACCCATCTATTTCGTGGCAGGAGAGGGCTCTAATGGAGTGGTCTGCCCAGTGTGTGGGTCGATGTTTGGGCGTTTCCGTAGGGGCTACCTCGGTGGAGAGTCCAAACCAGGTGCCTCCCCCTGAGTATGGGGATTTGGCTATTGCGTTTAGTAAGTCGAGGGCGACGCAGTTGCCGCCCCATAGGCAGGGAGATTGTGCGATAGACCTCCAGGCAGGAGCTGCGCTCCCACGGAGCCATGTGTATCCTCTGTCTCAGGAGGAGAAGAAAGCTATGGAGACTTACATAGACGAATCTCTGAGACAAGGATACATACGGCCTTCCACTTCCCCTGCGTCCTCGAGTTTCTTTTTTGTGAAGAAAAAGGATGGTGGTTTACGCCCGTGCATCGATTACCGTGGTCTCAATCAGATCACGGTGAAGTACAGTTATCCACTCCCGCTGATTGCGACCATGACTGAGTCATTGCATGGGGCGCGTTTCTTCACTAAATTAGATCTCAGGAGCGCGTACAACTTGGTGCGCATCAGGGAGGGCGATGAATGGAAGACAGCCTTTAGTACCACCTCGGGCCATTACGAGTATCTTGTCATGCCATACGGGTTGATGAACGCTCCGTCAGTTTTCCAATCATTCGTGGATGAGATCTTCAGGGACATGCAGGGGCAGGGGGTGGTTGTGTACATAGATGACATTCTCGTGTACTCGCCTACCCGAGTCGAGCATGTGGCCCTGGTGCGCAGAGTGTTGCGGAGGCTGGTGGAGCACGACCTGTATGTGAAGGCAGAGAAGTGTCTGTTTTTCCAGGAGTCGGTCTCCTTTTTGGGGTATCAGTTGTCTGCGTCAGGGGTGAAGATGGAGGTAGACCGGGTGTCAGCCGTGCGTAATTGGCAAACACCAACCACTGTGAAGGAGGTGCAGCAGTTTTTGGGGTTTGCGAATTACTACCAGAGGTTTATCCGGGGTTTTGGACAGGTGGCAGCTCCCATCACGTCTCTTTTGAAGGGGGGTCCGGTGCGTCTGCAGTGGTCTGCTGAGGCGGACAGGGCGTTTGGGAGGCTGAAGGACCTGTTTACCTCGGCCCCGGTGCTGGCGCATCCGGATCCCTCTTTGCCATTTCAGGTAGAGGTGGACGCGTCAGAGGCCGGTATAGGAGCCGTGCTTTCACAACGGTCAGGCGCGCCACCTAAACTCCGCCCCTGTGCTTTTTATTCCAAGAAGCTCAGTCCGGCGGAGCGAAACTATGACGTAGGGGACAGGGAGCTGTTAGCCGTGGTACAGGCCCTAAAGGTGTGGAGGCACTGGCTTGAGGGGGCTCAACACCCTTTCCTCATTTTGACGGACCACCGTAACCTGGAGTACATCCGGGCAGCGAGGAGGCTGAACCCTCGCCAGGCAAGATGGAATATGTTTTTGACCCGGTTTACATTTAAGATCACGTACATCCCTGGGTCACAGAACGGTAAGGCAGATGCACTGTCTCGGCGATATGACACGGAGGAGAGGTCCGTGGAGCCCACTCCCATACTGCCGGAGTCGTGTCTGGTGGCACCGGTAGTGTGGGAGGTCGATGCTGAGCTCGAGCGGGCGTTACGCACCGACCCTAGTCCACCGCAATGCCCGGAGGGTCGGAAGTACGTTCCGCTCGAGGTTCGGGATCGATTGATCTATTGGGCTCACACGTCACCCTCCTCTGGACACCCTGGTATCGGCCGGACAGTGCACTGTCTTAGTGCCAAGTACTGGTGGCCCACGTTGGCAAGGGATGTGAGGGTTTATGTTTCCTCCTGCTCGGTGTGCGCCCAGTGTAAGGCGCCTAGACATCTGCCTAGGGGTAAGTTACTACCCCTGCCCGTTCCACAACGACCATGGTCCCACCTCTCGGTGGATTTCCTTACTGACCTTCCTCCTTCACAGGGGAATACCACTATACTGGTCGTTGTGGACCGGTTTTCTAAGGCCTGTCGTTTGCTCCCCATGCCGGGCCTTCCTACTGCCCTGCAAACTGCCGAAGCACTATTCACCCATGTGTTCCGGCACTACGGGGTACCCGAGGATATTGTGTCTGATCGAGGTCCCCAATTTACCTCCAGGGTCTGGAGAGCCTTTATGGAGCGGTTGGGGGTCTCGGTGAGCCTCACCTCGGGTTACCACCCGGAGAGTAATGGGCAGGTGGAACGCGTGAACCAGGATGTGGGTAGGTTTCTTAGAACATACTGCCAGGACCGGCCGGAGGAGTGGGCAAGGTACGTTCCCTGGGCCGAGATGGCCCAGAATTCCCTACGCCATTCCTCCACGAACCTAACCCCTTTCCAATGTGTGTTAGGTTACCAGCCGGTTCTGGCACCTTGGCAGCAGAGCCAGATCGAGGCTCCTGCGGTGGATGAGTGGGCGCGGCGCTCGGAGGAGACATGGAACGCTGCACACGTCCACCTGCAGCGGGCCCTCCGTCGTCATAAGGCGAGCGCCGATCTCCACCGCAGTGAGGGACCGGTGTACGCACCTGGTGATCGAGTCTGGCTCTCTACCAGAAACCTGCCCCTCCGCCTGCCCTGTCGGAAACTGGGTCGGCGGTTTGTAGGGCCATTTAAAGTCCTGAGAAGGTTGAACGAGGTGTGTTACAAATTACAACTACCTGTTGAATATAAAAGTATTAACCCCTCGTTCCATGTGTCTCTTCTCAGGCCGGTGGTAGCTGGCCCACTCCAAGAAAGTGAGATCAGGGAGACTCCTCCGCCCCCATTGGACATCGAGGGGGCACCGGCGTACTCCGTGAGGTCCATCTTGGATTCGAGACGTCGGATGGGGGGTCTCCAATATCTAGTGGAGTGGGAGGGGTACGGTCCGGAGGAACGGTGCTGGGTGCCGAGGAGAGACATTTTGGACCCGTCTCTCCTGACGGAATTCCATCGTGGGCACCCGACGCACCCTGCTCCGCGTCCTCCTGGTCGTCCCCGAGGCCGGAGTCGGCGCACGTCTGGAGCCGCGCGTCAAGGGGGGGGTACTGTCACGGTTTCGGCCGAGGCTACCTCTCTTCCTTGTTCGGGCAGGCGTCGGCGTTCGTTGTCTCCGGAATACTAGCTGCCACCGTTGCATGTTTCTATGTTCGTTTGCTTTTGTCTGTTTGTTGTGACACCTGTTCTCGTTTAGTGTAATTAGTGTCCTATAAGTTTCTCGTTGTGTTTGTCTAGTGTTGTGTGTGATTGATTTTCTGTCGTGTGTTGTGCTTGTATATTATATTACTTATTCGCTCGGTTGAGCTTTACACCACTGTGTTGGAGCGTTTTACGCACATGGTTTGTGCGCCTTTTGTTTTGTCGCCTTCGTGCGTAGTTTTGCCTTCGGGCCAGTTTGTTCGATTTTTCCCTTGTTGGGAATTGCACTAAAGTCTTTTGGACTATACTTCGGTGTCCTGCGCTTGATTCCACCACTACACCCACCTACAGCATTCCTGACAATATCAAAATACTTACTTTGAAATGTATGTAAAAGTAGTTAAAATACTTAAAATAGTATTTGAATCAAGTTCTGCATTACCGTAATGCGATTAATTAGACAGTGACATTTAGCGGAGTTACACATTGTCTTGTAACTACAGTGCATTGCAAAATGGCGATACTGTACTGTTGACTCACGTTGCACACACTTGTACTTTATACTCCTCTTGAACAATGCTGATCTCATCGGTGAGGTTCATTTTGATCTCAAACTTTGGCAAAACTAGATATGAAAGAACAGAAGTTAACTCATGTATGTTCCAGTATTGTGACGTATTGATTCAACTGGCAGATCCATAATATTATGTAGCATGAAAGGTAAAAGAAAGAAGCTCAATTTACCATATTTTTCTACCTTGAAGTGATGGAATATTTTGTTATCACCAATCCACACTACAATAGCATAAGATCCTACAGGTGCTTCAGAGTTCAGGGGGTGAGAAAGCTGCAGAATGTTGCCACTGGATGAAGTATTGACCCACTGTCCAATCCTGTTCTGATGAACATCCTATTGATTCATAGAACAAGGGACATGTTTAGTAGGGCACAACATTGTGAAACGTTCACATACAAATATGTTATGTAGGCCAAACGTGCCTGTCTGACATGTAGAATAAGGAGTCACGTCAGTTCTATTCATTACATTCTATCTGCAACGTTCCGAAGTTTGCTTGTTGAAGGTGGCCCAGATGTTATCACATAAAGCTTATAGGGAGTCTTCTAGTAACTGCCATGTGGAAATGAATGATGACCTCCAGTACCTAGCTGGTGGAGTCATTGTCTTATGATGTCGTAGTATTTAGTGACAGTCATCATAAATTGACAGACTAATAAGGCTCTTACCTCAAGTTCCACAATGTTGTACTGTGAAGGGCAAGACAAAAGATTGGTTAATGTTTTATGAATAACTCTCAAATTCCCACAAAATGACCAAAAGAGCAAAACCGTCTACAACTATAGGAACCAGGTAGGTGGTTGGATTTGTCTCTTCAACTAAATATCACAAGTAGTATTTGCACTGGAACTCTAATGTCAATTCAATAGATTAATTCAATCTCAGGAAGAAAAATCCCATACATTCCAATCTGACCTACAGTATATGAATGGACAACCCCATGTCCTGTGATGAATGTTTGAGGATCTGAAAATCCACCCACACAGGTTTATTTAGAGAACCTCTGCAGAACCTTTGCCCTGAGTGCTATGTGCCTCAAATGTTTGTGTAGCCTTATCAAACAGACAGATTTTGGATTTTGCCCAATAGTTGTTCAAAACATTTCCCATTTCCAAAGTCTTATTGTTCATGGAGTACTAACAAGATTTGTATGACATGTCATGGCTACTTGATTGCTGAATTAAAATAACAATTTACAGTATATTCTACATAATAAGCCTTGTCCGTAAGGCAGGAGCCTATGTCCTGTTTCTGTAGCATGAAGGAGCCTGGACAGGACGCTAGTCTATTGCTGGGCATTAACCTCAATCCATCTCCTTAATGTTCAGTGCCAAGCAGAGTGGCATCAGGTCTCATTTTTAGAGTCTTTGGTAAGGCTCGACACCCTCAACCTTCCATTCTCAGTGAGGACACTAACCACAAGGCCGCAGAGTTGAGTTGGTTGGACAATATCGTACATAGTGTTACATAATACCTGAATGCTATGTCTATCAGACAGTAATGTGACGTTGTGACCCTTGAGATTCTTCTGTATATGTCTTTCTGTTTGAAAGAGTGGAGATACTGATCTAAAGGACGACCAAATACAGGTAATTGTTTTCAATATTCAATGTTGCACATTTTCAACACTCACCAGCTGATTGACAGGGCTAAAACTGGTATCCAAGGTGATCACTCTAAACTGTACTGTAAAAAATACAATGAAAAGACAAAGACAGGCACTCAATGAGAGTTTTAGAAGCATAATTTTTCTAACTTTCCCAGGTTTTCCAGAAATCCATGTTGAAGGATTCCCAGATTCCAGGAATCTTTCAGCCAGGATTTCTGAAAAACCTGGGATTTTCAGGAAAGTTACCAGAATTTTGCAAGACAAACTTTTGACAGCTTTTCTGGATAATATTTTAGTGTTGGTACTAAGGCCCCAATTCAATAAATTGCAGATAAAGGAAAACTGCACTGCGAGTTCGCTGAAAATATTTACACTATCGATATCTTTGTATTTATTTTATGTAACCCTTATTTTACCAGGTAAGTTGACTGAGAACACATTCTCATTTACAGCAACAACCTGGGGAATAGTTACAGGGAGAGGAGGGGGGATGAATGAGTCAATTCGGATCCAATGATAATGTCCAGCAGAGGAACAGCTTCTAACATGTGGTATGTTGGTTCAAACTCCAGTGTACATATTCTGAGTGAACCCACAGCTGATTTTTTCTTTATCTGCACCTAATGGTCCTCTTTCAAGTGTCTCTGGGATGACAGAGCAAACCATCATAGAAACATACTACCACCTAATTGTCCTGTTTCTTAGCAAGCAGACTAATTGTGTACTGGCTCTGTGTAAAATTACCTGTTTGTCCCGGGTTGTAGATTGGTTTATCCGTTTGGACGAATGTCATCGGGCTGTACGGTTTGATCATGACCTTTCTCTCCTCTGTCGATAGAAAAGTTTCACCTCGAATCTCCACCTTAAATCTTTGCACTTCGTCACTCTCCACATGAGGGGCCTGTCAGGGAGAAAACAAACCAATAACATATGATCCAGTGTGGCTTAGTTGGTAAGAACGTGCTGCTAACAACATCAAGGTTGTGTAGATTCAATCACTTCTCCTTTCACCAGTGTGTTTTAAAAAAGCTTTTAGTAGCTTAGTAGTTGATGTCATCTTTTTTTATGTGAAATTTCAGCCTGAATTCCAGAAAAGTTATAGTAAGCATTGATATTTCCCATAAAATAACCTGGCATTGCACACACAATTAAGAGATGCATCACAAAGCTAAGAAGTACAGTAAACTCTTATTGGAATGGTTCTGGATGTCAACCTGGGCTGACCTGAAACTGGAAGCAGCGGTGAAACTCTTGGTCAGAACTCTCTTGGAGAATACTTTTGTTCTGTCCATCGGCGATCAGAGATATGGTCATGACCAGGGTCTCGTTGGGCTGCAGAAGGCTGGCACAAAGCTTAGCCTCTGAGCCTGCCTGGATCACTGCAGGAATGGCTACCATGTAAACCCTACAGAGAACATATGCATGCACAGCAACAAACACACAGGAAAATCAGTACAAAATGAGAGGGCACTTCTAAACAAGAAACGACAGATGTAGGATCTTAATATGACCAGTATTGTCATTGAAAGATTATCCTGCAGCAACAGGATTTGAACGTTTAGTCCATAATGTCGCTTGATCAGTGGTTTCCTTACGAAAAAAAACACATGAAATTCACATGTGATCACGTCAATGAGAATACTTTACTTTAAAAGGCATAATTGACATTAATTCAATTTAAACAGTCATGGTCCCCTGCAGGTTTTGTGCTGTTCCAGGTTTGTTCCAGGGACGTCCCCAATAATGTTTTTAGGACGTTCTTAGAACGTTGTTTCATGGTCCCCTTGAGGTTTTTGTCTAGTTGCGGTGAAAATACAGTATTTACAAGTTTTTGTATTTTGGGGGAGGGGGTGAATGGGCCAATAAAAAATCTAAAAATCAAGATAAAAAAATCAAGAATAATTTTTGAAAAGCCTATATTTGTAGGTGAAATACACAGAACAAATATCTTCAGAAAGGATAGATGAAAAACCATTCTAAATTTGCTCTCTGACAGAGAGAATGTTACTCCAGGACGAGACGCCACATGTCTGATTACTAAATTCTAACTGACTGCAGATTTACTTACGGTCTTGGAGTTTTTTGACAGACACAAAGCCAGTGAAAGCAGACAAAGAGTATCCATCTCCAAACGTGATGCCCAGAAGGAACCATGACTCAATGAGAGAAATAAAAACACCAGGTCAGCCTATATCCCAGTATTCCTACTGGCAAGACCTCCCTACTGCACTGTGTAGAGGACAAGCAGAGGAACCGGTGTAGCCAGGTTAAATGATTGAAGTAAAAGCCTTGTGAATATTTGACCAATTTGTGTCAATAACAGTGATTTTCAGTGATTGGTAGATTCTCTGGCTTTGAGACTACACATGCACCATCAATATACATACAGTACAGTGTACGACATTGGCTTGCACTATAACCTGATTACATCTCAATAGTTTGCATGCAATGCCTGTTTTTTTACTTTGTCCATAATATATAGTGGGGTCCAAAATTATTCAATCCCTTGATAAAGATGAGCAAAAAAGACTGTAAAATAAATAATACAAATACTGAGCTATATGGTATGATATTTTTTGGAACAGTTATATTATTTTGTACTTATACAATTTTTCAGAGAAATATATTTTGTTTAACAAGTAATACCAAAAATCTCAAAAACATAAGGTTATAAATTATTGGATCCCCGGTTTTCAATACTCCAGCACCCTCACCTTTCGGGGATAATGACACTGAGCCTTTTTCTCAAATGTTTTATGAGACTGGAGAACACATTGGGAGGGATCTTAGACCAATCCTCCATACAGAATCTTTCCCGATCCTTGATATCCTTCATCTGTGCTTATGGACTTACCTCTTCAATTGAAACCACAGGTTTTCAATGGGGTTCAAGTCTGGAGACTGAGATGGCCATTGCGAAATGTAGATTTTGTGGTCAATTAACCCTTTTGGGGGGTTTTGATTTGTACTTGGGGTTATTGTCTTGCTGGAAGATTCACTTGAGGTTGTACCATGTGAGTTCATATGTTTACCTGTGAAGTGTACCTTTGACTTTTTTGTACCTCAGGGAACAACATTGTACCCAGAGCCGGGGTGGCAAAGCCGGGCATGGACCCACAGATAGAATTTGTGCCCCCCCAGGTTTGTTTCCCCAAAAACATAACAAATGGTATATGAATTACAATGCACCTGACGACCTGTTGGATTTAACCAACATCTCCCGAGTGGCGCAGTGGTCTAAGGCGATCCTGGTTCGAATCCAGGCTCTGTCGTAGCTGGCCGTGACTGGGAGACCCATGGGGCGGTGCACAATTGGCCCAGCGTCGTCCAGGGTAGGGGAGGGAATGGCCGGCAGGGATGTAGCTCAGTTGGTAGAGCATGGCGTTTGCAACGCCAGGGTTGTGGGTTCGATTCCCATGGGGGGCCAGTATGAAAAAAAAAAAAATTTATGCACTCACTAACTGTAAGTCGCTCTGGGTAAGAGTGTCTGGTAAACCAAAACTGAGCCAGTATATTTTGATTTGTTTAACACTTTTTTGGTTACTACATGATTCCATATGTGTTATTTCATAGTTTTGATGTCTTCACTATTATTCTACAATGTAGAAAATAGTAAAAATAAAGAAACACCCTTGAATGAGTAGGTGTTCTAAAACTTTTGACCTGTAGTATATATGCAGGACTCACACATACTGGTAGCCTAGTTTCAGCTGAATATCATCAGTCAAACTGGTCTCACAGACTAGACATAACATAGTAAAAGTAAATCCGGTACAATCATATTAGTAAGATGTGTTACGTTTGGTATGGTTATACAAGACAGATGACTACTTAAGGCATGGAAGGAGGGAGGGTTGGCGGCCATGTGGGGGGCAGGCGTATAACGCGTAAATACTGTATTCTCACTGCATCTATCAAAAACCTCCAGGGGACCATGAAACAACTTTCTAAGAACGTCCTAAAAATATTATTGGGGACGTCCCTGGAACAAACCTGGAACAGCACAAAACCTGCAGGGGACCATGACTGTTTAAATTGAATTAATGTCAATTATGCCTTTTAAAGTAAAGTATTCTCATTGACGTGATCACATGTGAATTTCATGTGTTTTTTTTCGTAAGGAAACCACTGATCAAGCGACATTATGGACTAAACGTTCAAATCCTGTTGCTGCAGGATAATCTTTCAATGACAATACTGGTCATATTAAGATCCTACATCTGTCGTTTCTTGTTTAGAAGTGCCCTCTCATTTTGTACTGATTTTCCTGTGTGGTTTGTTGCTGTGCGTGCATATGTTCTCTGTAGGGTTTACATGGTAGCCATTCCTGCAGTGATCCAGGCAGGCTCAGAGGCTAAGCTTTATGCCAGCCTTCTGCTGCCTAACGAGACCCTGGTAATGACCATATCTCTGATTGCCGATGGACAGAACAAAAGTATTCTCCAAGAGAGTTCTGACCAAAAGTTTCACCACTGCTTCCAGTTTCAGGTCAGCCCAGGTCGACATCCAGAACCATTCCAATAAGAGTTTACTGTCCTTCTTAGCTTTGTGATGCATCTCTTAATTTTTGTGCAATGCCATCTTATTTGTTGGGAAATATCAATGTGGTGGCCTACCATAACTTTTCGGGATTCAAGCTGAAATTTTACATAAAAAAAGATGACATCAACTACTAAAGAAAAAGCATTTTTAAAACACACTGATGAAAGGAGAAGTGATTGAATCTTCACAACCTTGATGTTGTTAGCAGCACGTTCTTACCAACTAAGCTACACTGGATCATATGTTATTGGTTTGTTTTCTCCCTGACAGGCCCCTCATGTGGAGAGTGACGAAGTGCCAACATTTAAGGTGGAGGTTTCAAGGTGAAACGTGTCTATCGACAGAGGAGAGAAAGGTCATGATTAAACCCTACAGTCCAATGACATTCATCCAAACAAATAAACCAATCCACAACCCGGGACACACAGGTAATTTTACACAGAGCCAGTACACAATTAGTCTGCTTGCTAAGAAACAGGACAATTAGGTGATAGCATGTTTCTATGATGGTTTGCTCTGTTATCACATGTTGCTGTGACAGTAAGGTGCAGATAAAGAAAAAATCCACTGCGGGTTCACTCAGGATATGTACACTGGAGTTTGAACCAACATACCCCATGTTACAAGCTGTTCCTCTCCTGGACATTATCATTGGATATCGATAGTGTCAATATTTTCAGCAAACTCGCAGTGTAGTTTTCCTTTATCTGAATTGGGGCCTTAGTACCAACGGTGTAAAATATTATCCACAGTAGCTGTCAAAAGTTTGTCTTGCAAAATTCTGGTAACTTCCCTGAAAATCCCTGGTTTTCCAGAAATCCCGGTTGAAACATTCCTGGAATCTAGAAATCCTTCAATGAGGATTTCTGGAAAATCAATGAAAGTTAGCAAAATTGTGCTTCTAAAACTCTAATTGAGTGCCTGTCTTTGTCTTTTCATTGTCTTTTTACAGTACAGTTTAGAGTGATCACCTTGGATACCAGTTTTAGCCCTGTCAATCAGCTGGTGAGTGTTGAAAATGTGAAACATTGAATATTGAAAACAATGACCTATTTGGTCTTCCTTCAGAACAGTATCCCCACTATTTCAAACAAAAAGACAGATACAGAAGAATCTCAAGGATCCCAACATCACAATACTGTGCGATAGACATGGCAATCAGCTATTATGTAACACTATGAACAGTTTTGTCCAACCAAATTGTTACAGTGTCCGCCTTATGGTTAAAGTGTCTGCCCTGAGAATGGAAGGATGGGGGTTCAAACCCCAGTCGAGCCATACCAAAGACTCTAAAAATGGGACCCGAAGCCTCTCTGCTTGGCACTCAGCATTAAGGAGATGGATTGGGGTTAATGCCGAGTGATAGACTAGCGTCCTGTCCAGGCTGCCTCAAGCTACAGAAACAGGAGATAGGCTCCTGCCCTATGGACAAGGACAAGGCTTATTAGTCTGTCAATTTATGATGACTGTCATTAAATACTACGACATCATAAGACAATGACTCCACCAGCTAGGTACTGGAGGTCATCATTCATTTCCACATGGCAGTTACTAGAAGACTCCCTATAAGCTTTATGTGATAACATCTGGGCCACCTTCAGCAAGCAAACTTTGGAACGTTGCAGATAGAATGTAATGAATAGAACTGACGTGACTCCTTATTCTACATGTTAGACAGGCATGTTTGGCCTACATTTACATTTTAGTCATTTAGCAGACGCTCTTATCCAGAGCGACTTACAGTTAGTGAATACATATTTTTTTATACTGGCCCCCCGTGGGAATCAAACCCACAACCCTGGCGTTGCAAACGCCATGCTCTATCAACTGAGCTACATCCCTGCCGGCCATTCCCTCCCCTACCCTGGACGACGCTGGGCCAATTGTGCGCCGCCCATGAGTCTCCCGGTCGCGGCCGGCTGCGACAGAGCCTGGATTCTAACCAGGATCTCTAGTGGCACAGTTAGCACTGCGATGCAGTGCCTTAGACCACTGCGCCACTCAGGAGGTAGGCCTACATGTGAATGTTACACAATGTTGTGCCCTGCTCAACGTGCCTCTTGTTCTATAAATCAACAGGATGTTCATCAGAACAGGATTGGACAGTGGGTCAATACTATATCTAGTGGCAACATTCTGCAGCTTTCTCACCCCCTGAACTCTGAAGCACCTGTAGGATCCTATACCATTGTAGTTTGGATTGATGAAAAAAAAATATTCCATCACTTTGAGGTAAAAGAATATGTCAGGTTGAGCTTCTTTCTTTTACCTTTCATGCTACATAATATTATGGCTCTGGCAGTTGATCAATGCATCACAATCCTGGAACATTCATGAGTTAACTGTTCTTTTATATCTAGTTTTGCCAAAGTTTAAGATCTAAATGAACCTCACCAATGAGATCAGCATAGTTCAAGAGGAGTATATAGTAGTGTGTGCAATGTGAGTCAACACTATTGACGTTTTGCAATGCACTGTAGTTACAAGACAATGTGTAACTCCACTAAATGTCACTCTCCATTTATGCTAATGCTGACCTGGATTCAAATACTATTTTCAATATTTCAATTACTTTCACATACATTTCAAAGTAAGTATCTGGATATTGTTTCTTTAAAAATACAAGTAGTTGAATATTGGAATGTATTTGGAAATATACAGTACTTGGAAAGTATTAGCATGTATTTGAAAATATTTAAATATATATATTTGTATTTTCAAATACAAATATTTTAAGAATTTGTGCATTTGCACCCATGTCTGTTTGGTCCTAGGAATATTTAAAATAATATATTTAGAAACAAGTATTTTAATATAGTTTCAAATAGTAGGCTATCTATAAGAAATTATTTGAAAATACTTTCAAATACTTCAAATAGAAGTAGTTGAATTTCCCATAAAATTTGAAAATAATCAAATACACAGAAAATGAGGATTTAAATACAAATATTTAAATATGCATTTATTTGTACCCAGGTCTGCGCTAATGACAAATACTAATTGAAGACCTACAATGCTACTGCTCAATGTCATAAACTGCTCCTATGAGTCCCTGACACTTCAAACGTTTGGGACACATTTGGCATTTACATGAACAGCTGGGCCTGTATTCATAAAGCATCTCAGAGAAGCATTGTTACATCAATGAAAAGCCCAGCATGTCCAGCTGGCATTTGAGAGGGACCTGACAAGTACATTTCATCAGGAAGGAGAATGGAATCAGAATCTTCTCATGAGTTTCAACACAGCATGGAGGAGGCTGCAACTCGTCTAAATAGTAAGCTACAACCTTTATGGCCCTGACCGCCATGCCAGAATTTTACATTAATTGGTTTTCCCTCATGTAAGCCTAGGGGTCGTTCGGCTCGTGGGGCTTCTCTTCAACATGCTTTCTTGTGTGCCAAATCAGAGTTGTTGTGTATATGGCTGTATTTCATATAGGCCTACATTTTTGTACATGTTGTATGTGGGACCAATACCATGTGTAGCCTACTAAAGCATATGTGGGAACTCCTTCGAGACTGTTGGAAAGCATTCCAGGTGAAGCTGGTTGAGAGAATGCCAAGAGTGTGCAAAGCTGTCATCAAGGCAAAGGGTGGCTATTTGAAGAATCTCAAATATAAAATATATTGACAAGCTTAGTTTCAACGCAACAGTAGAGGAGGAGGGGACAGGCAAGTCATTAATCACAAGAATTTGGAAATGGGAAAAGTGATGACATAATTTGCCTGAAGTCTAATGAAAACAGCTTTTTTTATTGAGAGTGAACGGCATGATGTCAATATGTTTAATTAGATCATGAAGGCCTGTTTGTTTGACCTTCGGTGCTACATCATAATGTTACATTCATTTTATTTAATTAATGTATTCTGTTTTTGATCATGTTAAAAAATCTTATGTAAGCTGCACTGCAATTCAGCTTCTGCATTGTGAACTGCCATTGTGCATCATGGTGGCACGTGTGGTTGTGAAATAAACCATGCTATTATCATTTGTTTTTCTTTGACAGGTATTACACAGTCAGAGGAAAAACACATAGCACTCTCCTATCTGATTGGAAAACTCACATTTGTCGACAAACCCAAAATCTATGAACATGGATCAATTATCAAGGGCAAGGTAAGTCCAAATCCAGTGTTATTGTTTCTTGTACTTTGTTGAATTGTGGATGCCATTTGCTCTTTGACATTCCTGTTTACTTAACTACCAATGGTAGGTAACAGTGACGTATGTAGCATCACTTCATAGAACTTTCCCCCCTTTTTCCTCAGATAAACTTTGTTCACTTCAACAACACACCTATCTCTGACATGTTAGTTTACCTGTTGGAGAAGAAAGGCTGGTCCTCACATCGTCTCCAGAACCTAACCACGGACAGTCATGGTATTGCCAGTTTCTCCCTCAACACAACCAGTATGCCCAAAGAGAATATTAACCTCATAGTAAGTATGATTCCTTCTAGGCTTTGAAAGACTTTGAGACTCCGAAGACTCTTCATGCGCTATCCCAAATCACCCGCTTGACCCTACTCCCTAGGGTCTATCATGCTCTTGTGGAGATCTGAGAAGATTCCCTTGGTATAATAAGCAATATGGTGAACTTCCACTTAGCCTATCAGAGGGCAAGGTGGAGCTCTAAGGGTTGATTTGGGATTGAGCCATCGTAGGGGAGGGTTGATCCAGTACGCCATCGTAGGGGAGACCGTCCCAAAGGGCTCCGTGGATGTCATCTACCTGGTGAGTAGAACCAGGAACAAGTTGTGACAACCTGCAAACCCAGGGTGTGTCTGAAATGGAACCCTATTCTCTAGTGCACTATTTTGACCAGGGTTATTTCAGACCTAGTCCCAGCCTCTCACCTTCAAAGAAAGGATGTCCCTATACAACACCAATACTCCTCATCATCTCCTTCTTGCTGACTTGATGGGATAACTGTTTTTCCCTCCTCCACACAATAGTTCAGCATGGACACATGAAGGTTACCTGGTGAGGGAGTTTCATTAAGTAATTATGAACATACTGGAATGTGCTTGATGACAATGATAGTGTGACATGCTCTTGCTTTGCAGTAACTGAGGGGGAAATCACCTTGAAGTTGGTAGTGGTTCCAGAGATGGCGCCATTGGTACAGGTCCTGGTGTACAGTATGCTACCCAGTGAGACTGTCATCGCCCACAGCATGAACCTCCCCACTGAGAAATGCTTCAGGCACAAGGTGTGTGTGTATGTGTGCATGCGTCTCTGAGTTAGTCATATCCTCAGTGACTGCACATCACAAACATAGTGTGTTCATTTTATGGAAGGTGAACATGTAATATTATTTGCAAAAATAACTCTGTAGTAAATACTACAGTAATGTCCGCTAAAACACAACACTTTAACAATAGGGAATACTACAGTATATAATTAGCATATACCCTGCCCATTCCCCTCCCCCATATCACAATTTGTGCCACTCATAAGTGAGAAACCTACATATAGTGAGACCTACATAAGTGAGAAACCTAACATATACTGTGTTCCCTACAGGTTATAGATAACAGCAGCTCTGAACTACCCGTCCAGACCCCAGTCCTACCTACCTACCTACCGACAGGCAATGGATAATTTGCTCTTGTAGTATTTCTCCAGTAGGTTTCCTGAAGTTTCCTCCACTTTAATGTCAAAGATAATAAAAACAAAAACACTATAGTAAATACTACAGTAATGTCCGCAAAAACACTACAGTAAATTATACTACAATCCGATAAAACACTACAGTAAATACTACAGTATAGTACAGTCTGCAAAAACCCTACAGTAAATACTACGGTATACTACAATCCGCAAAAACAATATATTAATTACTATGGTATATACTACAGTTTTATTTTACTACAGTATTTATATATAGTTAAATGTAAATACTACAGTGAATACTACAGTAAAGTCAGCAAAAATTTGCAGTATTTATAGCATAGTATACTACTAGTTTTGTTTTACGTTTGTATACACGGGCATGATGATGTCTGCTCTGTAACAATAAAAATGCACTATCTTGAGTTCATATGCATGACACATTGCAAAAATACTATGCATATTATGCATAAAACTGACCAAATGTAATCATCATTTGTATGGAGTATGGTGGCCATTGGCTCAACTTACCCCATGGTCATTGGCAAACATCATGATGACCTCTTCCTAAAGATTTGGTCAAATTATGTATTTTGTATATGGTTTCCTGGAAACAAGGGGTAGTTAAATTAACCCTTTGGCTCAAATTACCCCACTCCACTACAGGGTGCACCGGGTGTGATTACAGCTAATGGATTTCCACCTCCGCCAGCCATAGAGTCAGTCGGTCCGTACGTTCTTCCCCAGTACATGGATATCGGATCTTGGGGAAGTTCGTTAAGTGCACTTCACAGTGAGGCTGACCTCGGGTGAAAGCCCTCTTAGCGCTTGCCTAATATCAAAACATACAGTAGTGGTGTAGATTAGGAACCTGTACCTCTTTAAGCTGCATTAGAGAGTAGGCCAGGTTTCTCTAAGGAAAGAGGTCCTCTTAGCTAAATGGGACTCCATGGTTACATAAAGCTTAAATACATTTTGAAAATTAAAACAAACAGTGTTCAATTAATTTATACAGTAATACTCCATTGTTCTCTATGGGACACTTAGTGGCTTTCTGTTTGAATTCTGACCTCTGTATTACAGGGAGTCTGGATCAGCAGATGTGCCCCTCATTGTCCCAGACACCATCACCACCTGGGAGACAGAGGCATTCTGCCTGGCCCCTGGCGGCTTCAATCTGGTTCCTCCAGTGAAACGTACAGTCTTCCAACCCTTCTTCCTGGAACTCACCCTGCCCTAGTCCATCGTCCGTGGAGAGCACGTTGAGCTGAAGGTCACTGTGTTCAACTACAGTGGCTTGCGAAAGTATTCACCCCACTTGGCATTTTTCCTATTTTGTTGCCTTACAACCTGGAATTTAAATGGATTTTTTGGGTGTTTGTATCATTTGATTTACACAACATGCCTACCACTTCGAAGATGCTAAATATATTTTTTTGTGAAACAAACAAGAAATAAGACAAAAAAAACAGAAAACTTGAGCATGCATAACTATTCAGCTTGATCCTTCTGCCGACGAATGGCCCCCTGGAGACGGACTTGGGCGGCGTCCCAGACCTGTCCGGCCCTGCGGAACCACTCGTCGACAGCGGGCGCATCGGTCTGGCTGGGTGTCCAAGGGGCCAGGGCCGGCTGGTACCCCAGGACGCATTGGAAGGGAGTGAGCCCCGTGGAGGTGTGAACGAGGGAGTTCTGGGCATATTCTGCCCAGGGAAGAAACCTTGCCCACTCACCCTGCCGGTCCTGACAGTGGCAACGAAGAAACCTCCCCAGCTCCTGGTTCATGCGCTCCACCTGCCCATTTGACTGAGGCCTATACCCGGAGGTGAGGCTGGCCGTGGCCCCGATCTTCTCCAGAAAAGCTTTCCACACTTGGGAGGTGAATTGGGGGCCACGGTCCGAGACGATGTCCTCTGGAAGTCCATAGTGCCAGAAGACCTGTTGGAACAGGACCTCAGCGACCTGGAGAGCAGAAGGAAGACCAGTTAGTGGCAAAAAACGGCATGATTTTGAGAACCGATCTACAACCACCATGACTGTGGTGAAGCCATCAGAACGTGGAAGGTCGGTGACAAAGTCTATGGACAGGTGTGACCAAGGTCGCTGAGGCACTGGTAGAGGAACTAGTTTGCCTGCCGGGGCGTTCCTAGGCATCTTCGTTTGGGCACATACGGAACAGGAGTAGACATAGCGAGAGACATCAGAAGCCAAGGTGGGCCACCAGTATTTTTGTGCTAGAGAATGCAGGGTGCGCATAATACTGGAGTGCCCTGTCGTAAGGGTGGTGTGCGCCCAGATCAGCAGGCGGTCACGGACACTGGTGGGTACATACACGCGCCCCGGAGTGGTCCTCCTAAGCCGCCAGGTGGATGTCTTCATCCACATCCTAAATGACAGGTGCAACGATGAGAGATGGGGGCAGGATTGGACCCCCCAGATCCTTCCTCTCTCCGGTATGGTGCATCCTGGAGAGTGCGTCGACTTTCACATTCTGGAATCCTGGGCGGTAAGACAGAATGAATTGAAAGCGAGTAAGAAATTGGGCCCACCTGGCTTGACGAGAGTTCATCCGTTTCGATGCCCGTATGTGCTCCGAATTCCGGTGGTCAGTAAGAATCCGGAATGGATGAACTCTAGCCAGTGTCTCCATTCCTCCAGAGGGAGGACCACAGCCAACAGCTCCCTGTCTCCAACTCCATAGTTCCTCTCTGCGGGGGTAAGCTTTTTAGAGAAAAAGGCACAGGGATACATTTTCTCTGGCTTACCATGCCGCTGGGAGAGGACCACAACCACGCCCTCCTCCGATGTGTCCACCTCCAGGATGAAAGGACACAATGGATATGGGTGTTTTAGGATGGCCGCTGTGGTGAACCTCTCCTTCAGCCTTTGAAGGCAGCGTCAGCCTCAGGGTTCCAGGCCAGCTTCTGAGGCCCACCCTTAAGGAGAGAGGTGAGCGGGGCGGCTATGGAGCTGAAGGACCTGATGAAACGCTGGTAGAAATTGGCAAAGCCCAGGAAGCTCTGAAGGCCCTTGATGATGGTGGGGACTGGCCATGACCTGACAACGTACATCTTCGCTCTTTCCATGAACACACCCTGAGGACTGATCCTGTATCCCAGGAAGGAGATGGCCTGTTGGTGGAAATCGCATTTCTCCCCCTTCACCAACAGGCTGTGTTTTCCCGGAGGTGGATTAGGACAGCTCTGACGTCCCTGACGTGCTCCTCGAACGTAGCCGAGTAGATCAGGATATCGTCGATGTACACCACCACCTGTCTACTCAGCATGTCTCGGAACACGTCATTGATGAAGGACTGGAACACAGAAGGTGCGTTGGCGAGGCCGTAGGGCATGACGCAGTATTCATAGTGGCCTGAGGTAGTGCTGAATGCCGTCTTCCACTCATCTCCTTCCCGGATTCGGATCAGGTTGTAGGCACTCCTCAGGTCCAACTTCGTAAAGTACCGGGCCCCTCATAGCTGCTCGATGGCCAACGGAACCAGAGGGAGGGGGTACCGGTACTTGGTGGTGACTGTGTTCAACCCCATATAGTCAATGCACGGCCTCAGTCCTCCGTCTTTTTTGGCCACGAAGAAGAAGCTGGCAGAGGCAGGAGAGGTAGAGCGTCTGATGAACCCCTGTTTCAGGGTCTCCGCCACATACTTGTCCATGGCCTTAGTCTCCGCCATGGAAAGGGGGTAAATACGACTCTTCGGGGGGTCCCTCCAGCAGGTCAATGGCGCAGTCCCAGGGACTGTGAGGAGGGAGACACGTAGCCTTTGATGAAGAGAATACATCAGAGAGATCTGTGTACTCACGTGGAATGTTGGGCTGGAGGGCGGACTCCGTACTCTCCACTGACGTGGAACAACAAACCACCGGCAGGCAGATCTTCCGGCATGAGGTGGACCAGGCTGTGATCCTCTTGGTGATCCAACTGATGGTGGGGTTGTGTAGTCTGAGCCAGGGAAATCCCAAGACGATCCGGTGAAGGGGTGACGTGACGATGTGGAATGAAAGCTCCTCGTGGTGCGCCGGTAGTGTGGGAATGGTGATGGTGAGAGTGACGTGCGTAATGGTGCCTGATCCAAGTGGTTTATTGTCCAGCGAGGTGACGTGTAGCGGAGAAGGCAGTGGCACAGTGGGCAACCCCCATTCAGAGACCAGCTCCCTATCTATAAGGTTCCCCGCTGATCCGGAATCTATCATTGCAGTGGAAATGGAAGAGAAGGAATAACCAGTCACTGTTATGGGAACTAAAAACAATGGTTTTGTTATGGGAGATGACGTAACACTCACGGAGTGGCTACGGGAGTCATACCGCCTAAATTGGGAGCCGCCAGAAGATCTGTGGTCCATGGTGGTGTAGCGGGTGCTGCCCACCTCCATGGGGCAGGGTGGCTTCCATAGCTCAGATGGGGTGCGCGTCGAGGCTCCGGGAGTTGTTGGGAACGCGGTCTGTCTCTCAACATGTCGTCAAGACAGATGGACATGGCGATGAGGGTATCAAGGTCCATCTCGTCGTCCCGACATGCAAGTTCCATCATGATGTCCTCCCGTAAGCCTCTCCTGAAGGACGTGTGCAGAGCACGCTTATTCCAGCCGGAAGACGCCGCCACCGTGCGAAAGCTCAGAGCGTACTCGGACGTGGGCCCCTCTCCCTGTTGTAGCTGGAGGAGACGCTCACCCCCGTCCTTTCCCTCCGTGGGATGATCAAACACCGCCCTGAACCGAGCGAGGAAGGTGGAGTAGGGAGGCGTCTTTCCTTTAAGTAGCGAAATCACCAGCGCTAACCTGGCTTGGTCAGATGGATATGCCCCAGGCTGACGCGCCAGATAAAGTGAAACCTGTAGCAGGAAGCCGTTACATTTAGTAGTTTTACCGTCATAGCGCTCCGGTAGGGCGAGGGTTCGCTCAGAAGTGGGTGATAGCACAGGAACAGGTGGATTGGATGCACTCGCCGCTCCCTGAGGTGGAACCGGAGCGCTGGGCAGATTATGCAGAGTTTGGAGCACTTCATGCATGGCGGCGTTCAACTGGGCAAGCTGCTGCTGGTACTGGTCGAGGCAATTGGAAACTCCTGCTGCATCCATTTTCGTGAGTGGTGTGTAATTCTGTGATGAGTACTGAGTATACGAAGAGGCAGGACGCAGATGCAGGAATTAACAAGGTAAAGGTTTACTTAACAATGCGAAAGAGAATAACAAAGAGCATGTAAACGACACGACGCTAACAATTACGTACAACAATGAACAAACAGTCCAGGGCTATATAGAGGTGGTGATGAGATGATGAGGTGCAGGTGCGCTGGAGGTGATTAGGGTGCGTTGGGTTTCCATTCCTGTGTTTGCCGAGGTGGTGTGCTCAGACCGGTGGCTCAGTAGACCGGCGAATCTGAGTGCCGGAGGGGAGCAACGGGAGGAGACGTGACAAAGGGGGATGAATGCTTTTGCAAGGCACTGTACCTGTCCGAGTGCATCATGGTACGGCACTGCACCACAATCATTTCTTGAGTTGTTGCAGTTGTCTAGTCAGTGTTTATTTTTACACCCAGTGTATCGGTCTTGGGTTTTCGATGTTATCTTACAAGTGTTCCTATTTGGCAGGTTTCTGTGACTCCGGCTCACTCCTTAGACTACACTCTCACACCCTTGAATGATGTCCAGTACTCATCATGCTTGTGTGCCAATGGACAAAAGACCTTCAGTTGGACAATGGCACCATCTGTCTTGGGTAAGTCACCAGTCTTCATTCAACCGTTCAAACAGCAGAATGGATGTAAACCTGAGTTGTGTTCTCTCAGTCACCGTATAGGATGTTGTGTAACCTGTGCTGCACTCTGTCTGTCAATGTGTGTGTAGGGGTTGTGAATGTGTCCGTTAGTGCAGAGGCTGTCCAGTCCCACGCTGCATGTGACAATGAAATTGTGAACGTACCAGAGAGAGGACGCATCGACACAGTCACACAGAGCCTGCTGGTGAAGGTATGTAGTCTACTGCTGTGGTGAAACTTACTGCTGTACAGATACCATCTAGTGTAACTGCCTTTGACTGAAAATAATCTCCTCTCTTGCATCAAATGTTCACTTTGATTGAACTGATCCTCTCCATTCATCTTATCATCTGTGTGTCTACAGCAGAAGCTCTGACAGAGGAGGAGGAACTGAACTGCAACTCCCCAAGAATGTGGTGGATGGATCTGATCGAATTTCCCTCTCAGTCCTGGGTAAAATAAACCATTGTATTGTTTAGAGAGGCATAGTGAGTTTAGAGAGGCATAGTGGTGGGAAAAGCAACCCTTCTCCAGTGATAATGCTACTGTTGCTAAAGAGGACAGTCTTACAGAAGTCCCATGTTTACCTGTAGGTGACATTTTGGGTCGGGCCCTCAAGAACCTGGATGGACTGTTGAAGATGCCGTATGGGTGTGGTGAGCAGAATATGGCCCTCCTAGCCCCCAATATCTACATCCTGGAGTACCTGAGGAACACAGAGCAGCTCACTCCAGCCATCCGAGACAAGGCCACCAAGTTCCTCACTAGTGGTAAGAGAGGTCCTCAAAATATGGGTCGTACATTAGGCACCAAATGGAAGAAAACTGAGTTAAACAGGGCTGGATTTGTCCAAAAATAACCCTTTGTTTTCATTTTCCATTGAAGAACATTTTTAAACGTTTCATCACCGTGTGCCTTAATGACTATGACCCTGCTATCATGTAAATGATAGAGCTACAGCATAGATGACATCACAGTATCTTATCAACAGAGCATCAATGACCCAACACATGTAGGGACTTCCTGATGTTCTCCCACTGAAATAATTTGATCATAGAATATTGAGGCTGGGGGGGGGGGTAAGTGATTGACACAAATGACACAAACATTAATTTTCACAAAGTCTGCTGCCTCAGTTTTGATGATGGCAATTTGCATATACTCCAGAATGTCATGAAGAGTGATCGGATGAATTGCAATTAATTGCAAAGTCCCTCTTTGCCATGAAAATGAACTTAATCCCCAAAAAACACATTTCCACTGCATTTCAGCCCTGCCACAAAAGGACCAGCTGCAACACAGGTGAAAGTGTTGACGAGGACAAGGCTGGAGATCACTCTGTCATGCTGATTGAGTTAAAATAACAGACTGGAAGCTTTAAAAGGAGGGTGGTGCTTGAAATCATTGTTCTTCCTCTGTTAACCATGGTTACCTGCTGTTACGTTCTCCCCCTCGGGTGGAGTTTGTCTGAGGAGGAGACGTAAATGCCCGTGCCTACGCACACAATGTAAACTAGATGTATGGGGAAGAAATGTGGGATGTAACTAACTAAAATAACCAGAACTCAATGTTAGCCCTCTGGGGACGTTTAGTAAGGTACTGAACAACATATACAACACCCATAAAGAAACAGTAATAAAACAAAGACCAATCAAACAAACCAGGGATGGTAAGAGAAGGGAATGTTTGGGAACGGGGTCCAAGTAATGAAAATAAACAAAAGGTCCCTCCTCTTCTACACACCTAATCCTTCCTAACATACTCTAAGCCTTAACCAGCTCTCCTACCTGTTACCACAAATACAGGGGTGACACCCCCCCGGCTACCCTAGTGTATAAAACAGTGGATTATCTACGTGTGAATGTACACCCATGGACAGAACTACCTTTCCCTTCTCCAGGACCCAGGTAGGGTGGAACACAAACAAAGATAAATCAAAACAACCAATAACCAAATCCTCAGCCAAACAACCAAACAAAAAGTGCCCCCTCTCTCTCACACGACAAACAGTTTATATGCTCTAGTCAATCAGTCACTCAACCACAGCTGCCAGGACACCGGACCGAAGCCACGCCCACCATCGTCAGCCGCAACTCGGCACACCTGAAATAACCAGAACACACCAACAGAACAACCACTCTGAACCACACACACACTACAAAGGAAGATTGGGAGAAAGAAAAACATGTCACACGTAACACCTGCAAGGAAACACATGCCGTCATCATTGCTTTGCATAAAAAGGGCTTCACAGGCAAGGATATTGCTGCTAGTAAGATTGCACCTAAATCAACCATTTATCAGATCATCAAGAACTTCAAGGACAGAGGTTCAATTGCTGTGAAGAAGGCGTAAGGGCGCCCAAGAAAGTCCAGCAAGCGCCAGGACCGTCTCCTAAAGTTGATTCAGCTGCGGGATTGGGGCACCACCAGTGCAGAGCTTGCTCAGGAATGGCAGCAGGCAGGTGTGAGTGCATCTGCACGCACAGTGAGGCAAAGACTTGTGGAGGATGGCCTGGTGTCAAGAAGGGCAGCAAAGAAGCCACTTCTCTTCAGGAAAAACATCAGGGACAGACTGATATTCTGCAAAAGGTACAGGGATTGGACTGCTGAGGACTGGGGTAAAGTCATTTTCTCTGATGAATCCCCTTTCCGATTGTTTGGGGCATCCAGAAAACACCTTGTCCGGAGAAGACAAGGTGAGCTCTACCATCAGTCCTGTGTCTTGCCAACAGTAAAGCATCCTGAGACCATTAATGTGTGGGGTTGCTTCTCAGGCAAGGGAGTGGGCTCATTCACAATTTTGCCTAAGAACAGAGCCATGAATAAAGAATGGTACCAACACATCCTCCGAGAGCAACTTCTCCCAACCATCCAAGAACTGTTTGGTGACAAACAATGCCTTTTCCAGCATGATGGAGCACCTTGTCATAAGGCAAAAGTGATAACTAAGTGGCTCGGGGAACAAAACATCGACATTTTGGGTCCATGGCCAGGAAACTCCCCAGACCTTAATCCCGTTGAGAATTTGTGGTCGATCCTCAAGAGGCGGGTGGACAAACAAAACCCCACAAATTCTGACAAACTCCAAGCATTGATTATGCGAGAATGGGCTACCATCAGTCAGGATGTGGCCCAGAAGTTAATTGACAGCATGCCAAGGCGGATTGCAGAGGTCTTGAAAAAGAAGGGTCAACACTGCAAATATTGACTCTTTGCATAAACTTAATGTAATTGTCAATAAAAGCCTTGGACACATATGGAATGCTTGTAATTATACTTCAGTATACAATAGTAACATCTGACAAAAATATCTCATAACACTGAAGCAGCGAACTTTGTGAAGACCAATACTTGTGTCATTCTCAAAACTTTTGACCACGACTGTACACTACATGACCAACAGTATGTGGACACCTGCTCGTTGAACCTCTCATTCCAAAATCATTGGCATTAATATGGATGTGGTCCCCCCTTTGCTGCTATAACAGCCTCCACTCTTCTGGGAAGGCTTTCCACTAGATGTTGGAACAATGCTGCGGGAACTTGCTTCCATTAAGCCACAAGAGCATTAGTGAGGTCGGGCACTGATGTTGGGCGATTAGGCCTCATTCCAATTCATCCCAAAGGTGTTCAATGGGTTTGAGGTCAGGGCTCTGTGCAGGCCAGTCAAGTTCTTCCACACCGATCTCGACAAACCATTTCTGTATGGACCTCGCTTTGTGCACAGGGGCATTGTCATGCTGAAACAGGAAAGGGCCTTCCCCAATCTGTTGCCACAAAGTTGGAAGCACAGAATCGTCTAGAATGTCATTGTATGCTGTAGCATTAAGATTTCACTTCACTGGAACTAAGGGGCCTAGCCCTAACCATGGAAAACAGCCCCAGACCATTATTCCTACTCTACCAAACTTTACAGTTTGCACTATGCATTTGGGCAGGTAGTGTTCTCCTGCCATCCGCCAAACCCAGATTTGTCTGACGGACTGCCAGATGGTGAAGTGTGATTCATTACTCCAGAGAACGCATTTCCACTGCTCCAGAGTCCAATGACGTCGAGCTTTACACCACTCCAGCCGACGCTTGGCATTGCACATGGTGATCGTAGGTTTGTTTGCGGCTGCTTGGCCATGGAAACCCATTTCATGAAGCTCCCGACGAACAGCTCTTGTGCTGACGTTGCTTCCAGATGCAGTCTGGAACTCGGTAGTGAGTTTTGCAACCGAGGACAGACTATTTTTACGCACTACGCACTTCAGAAGAACTGACTTGTTGGAACGGTGGCATCCTATGACGGTGCCACGTTGAAAGTCACTGAGCTCTTCAGTAAAGCCATTCTACTGTCAATGTTTGTCTATGGTGATTGCATGGCTGTGTGCTCGATTTTATACACCCCTACCACTAATTTGAAGGGGTGTCCACGTACTTTTGTATAGTGTACATTACCAGCAAAAATATTGTAATCAGATTACAGATGCTTTTGAAAGAAATGTATGATTACTTCTTGGATTACTTTTAAATTCAGAAAGGATATTTGCGAAGAAGAAAAAAAGACTGACACCTTTCTGTTTTCTCAATGACATTCAATTCAGCATTGAAAACGGCGCAAGTTTAAGTTTGTTGCACCTGAGTGAGTCTGATCACAAGTCAGGAAAGCCAGAAAAAATATCCATATTTCAACCTACAGTGCAGTCGGAAAGTATTCAGACCCCTTGACTTTTTCCACATTGTTACATAAGTATTCAGACCCTTACTCAGTACTTTGTTGAAGCACCTATGGCAGCGATTACAGCCTCAAATCTTCTTGGGTATGACGCTACAAGCTTGGCACCTGTATTTGGGGAGTTTGTCCCATTCTTCTCTGGAGATCCTCTCAAGCTCTGTCAGGTTGGAAGGGGAGCATTGCTGCACAGCTATTTTCAGGTCTCTCCAGAGATGTTCGATAGGGTTCAAATCCGGGCTCTGGCTGGGCCACTCAAGGACATTCAGAGACTTGTCCTGAAGCCACTCCTGCGTTGTCTTGGCTGTGTGCTTAGAGTCGTTGTCCTGTTGGAAGGTGAACCTTCACCCCAGTCTGAGGTCCTGAGCACTCTGGAGCAGGTTTTCATCAAGGATCTCTTTGAACTTTGCTCTGTTCATCTTTCCCTCGATCCTGACTAGTCTCCCAGTCCCTGCCACTGAAAAACATCCCCACAGCATGATGCTGCCACCACCATGCTTCACCGTGGGGATGGTGCCAGATTTCCTCCAGACGTGATGCTTGACATTCAGGCCACATAGTTCAATCTTGGTTTCATCAGACCAGAGAATCTTGTTTCTCATGGTCTGTGAGTCCTTTAGGTGCCTTTTTGGCAAACTCCAAGCGGGCTGTCATGTGCCTTTTACTGAGGAGTGGCTTCTGTCTGGCCATAAAGGCCTGATTGGTGGAGTGCTGCAGAGATGGTTGTCCTTCTGGAAGGTTCTCCCATCTCCACAGAGGAACTCTGGAGCTCTGTCAGAGTGGCCATCGGGTTCCTGGTCACCTCCCTGACCAAGGCCCTTCTCCCCCGATTGCTCAGTTTGGCCGGGCGGCCAGCCCCGAGAAGAGTCTTGGTTGTTACAAACTTCTTCCATTTAAGAATGATGGAGGGAACTGTGTTCTTGGGGACCTTCAATGCTGCAGACATTTTTTGGTACTGTTCCCCATATCTGTGCCTCGACACAATCCTGTCTCGGAGCTCTACGGACAATTCCTTCGACCTCATGGCTTGGTTTTTGCTCTGACATGCACTGTCAACTGTGGGACCTTATATAGACAGGTGTGTGCCTTTCCAAATCATGTCCAATCAATTGAATTGACCACAGGTGGATTCCTATCAAGTTGTAGAAACATCTCAAGGATGATCAATGGAAACAGGATGCACCTGAGCTAAATTTCAAGTCTTTTAGCAAAGGGTCTGAATGCTTATGGAAATAAGGTATCTGTTTTATATTTTGAATACATTTGAAAAAAAATCTAAAAACCTGTTTTCGCTTTGTCATTATGGGGTATTGTGTGTAGATTGATGAGGAAAATAATTAATTTAATCCATTTTAGAATAAGGCTGTAACGTAACAAAATGTGGAAAAAGTCAAGGGGTCTGAATACTTTCCGAAGACACTGTACGTGTGGTGATAATTGCGCTGTTAGCTCTATAACCTGTTAGTTCGTATGCCTTGCCACCGTGATATATAGGCCTAAGGCCGAGACAATAAGAAGTCAGTGGCAAAATAAATTCAACCACATCTTTGTTTCATCACAAAACCAGAGAGCATCCTCTGTACGGTGAAGTCCACAAAGCATATTGCATGTAACAAACAGTTGCATGACCTACAAGCAAGTTAATGTTTCCGACATTTTCGGACTACTAAACAATTATTGATTTAGAACCATGGAGAGTTACCGCAAGTCGCAAAGAAAACAGGAGCTGCGTCCACTATTCCAGTACCATTTCAACTTCAACATTTCAACATCATCAAATCACCTATGCTTAGTCTAATACAGTGACAAATCAAATATCCATGGTTCTGATTTCTCTCTCTCTGTGTGTGTGTGTGTGTGTGTGTGTGTGTGTGTGTGTGTGTGTGTGTGTGTGTGTGTGTGTGTGTGTGTTTGTGTGTGCGCGTGCACGCGCGCTCCTTGTCCCTCAGGGGGTCTCCTGCACTGGACAAAGACCTATTCAGAGACCTCAGCCTCCCTGGCAGTGGAGATCAGCTCCTACGTTCTGCTGGCTTCCCTCAGTGCCTCCCCTCTGTCTACCACTGACCTGGGCTACGCCTCCCGCATCGTCAGGTGGCTGGTGAGGCAGCAGAAAGCCTACGGAGGCTTCTCCTCCACACAGGTATACTTCCAAAACACCTCTGGTCCGAAATGGCACCCTGTGCTGTGCACTAGTAATGAGGCATTATTACCTTGACTTCACCACAGGCATGTATGTGCTTCTTGTCATGTCAGGCCTGGCGAAACTAACTTCCACTGAAATGGAGGCAAGAAATCGTAATGAATGGAAATGGGAAATAGTCACTCTAGTAACTGATCAATGTAAAAATCGACCCTTTTTGTAAATGGGGTATTTTCTTTAATTTTACTGTGATCTGTTGGTGTGGGTGTTTAGGACACAGTGGTGGCCCTCCAGGCCCTAGCTCTCTATTCCACCAGGGTGTTCAGTAGAGAGGGCACCAACACAGTGACAGTACAGTCTCCCAGTGGGGGACAGCACCTCTTTGATGTGAACCAAAACAACAAGCTGCTCTACCAGGAGAGGGCGATGCAGGACACAGAATGGAAGTACAGTGTGGAAATGAAGGGCAGTGCTTGCACTTGTGCCTCAGTGCTGCTCAGTGAAAACACTCCTCACAATCCCATGGTGTAAAATACAGTTTTATATATTACTGTGAAGAAACATTTTAGAAGCTTTGTCTGGCTTCTAGTTTATGAAATGTAAAACAAACAAAAATAAAGCATATAAAATGTATATTTTTAGACAACATTGTTTCCCTGCCTTCTTCTTCCCTCTTTCCCAGGTGGCGCTCCACTACAACATCCCTACTCCTATTGACAGCACAACGCTCAGCATCAAGGTGAAGCCAGAGGTCGACTGCAACAGCAACTCTGAGACCCAGAGTCACGCTAAAACTTCAATCTCAGTAAGAATGAATGGCCATTTGCATTCACAGAAGCATTCTTTGAATTAGTTTATCATTGACACTCCAAAGTCTTAATTTGGAGCATGTGTTACAGAATGCATTTGACTCAAATCACTTGGTTTCATTATACCTATGTATAGGTTATTTAACTTCTAATTTGTAGTTTGGCTTGGATCAGTAATAAAACATATATCGTCTTTCTATGGCTAAAATAATCAAAGTATCCATTCATTTGATTTTTACAAGCACTTGTCAAAATCAAACTTTGATATCAGGCATCTCTTTGCTTTCACAGATATCATGGAAAGGAGCTGACCACCAATATGATTATAGTGGATTTGAAAATTCTGTCTGGGTTTCCCCCAGACCCAGACTCTTTGTGGAGGGTGAGTTTTTGTGATAACATACGTTTATAGTGTTACCTGTGACCTTTTTCCATGTAGTTCTTGCCTCTTTCATCTGTGAACCTTTCTGAAACTGAACGTTTTTGTCCATGCAATATGAATAATCAGTGAATGGCACTTCTAGTGGATCGTGTTTTCCTAAAGATGACCATGTGTTAATGTACTTGACATGGGTGAGACCAAACCATCCATCAGATTGAAACAGTGTACATAGTACTCGCAATGGAATTAATTTAAAATAATATATATATTTTGATGTACTTGAGGTGACATATCTCTACTCTGAAATTATTTGTGTAGAATGTGCTTGAGTCAGTAAAACTGAAATTACACTTCTGCTTGGAGGGTTTAAATAAGTGTAATCAAAATGTTTGTTTTTTCTCCCAACAGTGTCGTGGAAATACTTATAATAATAATAATAATAATAATAATAATATGCCTTCTCAAAGATATCTCTCAGACACTGGATCTTGTGAGTTCAGAATATACTTTATTACAAAGTAACAAGCCGAGCTGGTCCGCGGAGCAACTGCCAGTCCCAGACTTGAAGTGCTCTTTTTATACAGCTTCATCTTTTCATATCATATCGGAACCCCCTCTTTATCCAAACAGCCACTCTCCCTTGACCTTGAGCCACTATGGTTTCTTTGTCTAGCCTCTTACCTGTCTATGCCCATGTCTGCTTGGTTTCCCGTCCTCTTGCCTGACTCTATTGGTGGCGTGATAAAGACAGTTCCTTTAAAAATAATATACATACAGTGAGGGAAAAAAGTATTTGATCCCCTGCTGATTTTGTACGTTTGCCCACTGACAAAGACATGATCAGTCTATAATTTTAATGGTAGGTTTATTTGAACAGTGAGAGACAGAATAACAACAACAAAATCCAGAAAAACGCATGTCAAAAATCTTATAAATTGATTTGCATTTTAATGAGGGAAATAAGTATTTGACCCCCTCTCAATCAGAAAGATTTCTGGCTCCCAGGTGTCTTTTATTCAGGTAACGAGCTGAGATTAGGAGCACACTCTTAAAGGGAGTGCTCCTAATCTCAGTTTGTTACCTGTTTAAAAGACACCTGTCCACAGAAGCAATCAATCAATCAGATTCCAAACTCTCGACCATGGCCAAGACCAAAGAGCTCTCCAAGGATGTCAGGGACAAGAATGTAGACCTACACAAGGCTGGAATGGGCTACAAGACCATCGCCAAGCAGCTTGGTGAGAAGGTGACAACAGTTGGTGCGATTATTTGCAAATGGAAGAAACACAAAAGAACTGTCAATCTCCCTCAGCCTGGGGCTCCATGCAAGATCTCACCTCGTAGTGTTGCAATGATCATGAGAACGGTGAGGAATCAGCCCAGAAGTACACAGGAGGATCTTGTCAATGATCTCAAGGCAGCTGGGACCATAGTCACCAAGAAAACAATTGGTAACACACTACGCCGTGAAGGACTGAAATCCTGCACCGCCCGCAAGGTCCCCCTGCTCAAGAAAGCACATATACAGGCCCGTCTGAAGTTTGCCAATTAACATCTGAATGATTCAGAGGAGAACTGGGTGAAAGTGTTGTGGTCAGATGAGACCAAAATCGAGCTCTTTGCCATCAACTCAACTCGCCGTGTTTGGAGGAGGAGGAATGCTGCCTATGACCCCAAGAACTCCATCCCCACCGTCAAACATGGAGGTGGAAACATTATGCTTTGGGGGTGTTTTTCTGCTAAGGGGACAGGACAACTTCACCGCATCAAAGGGACGATGGACGGGGCCATGTATCGTCAAATCTTGGGTGAGAACCTCCTTCCCTCAGCCAGGGCATTGAAAATGGGTCGTGGATGGGTATTCCAGCATGACAATGACCCAAAACACACACGGCCAAGGTAACAAAGGAGTGGCTCAAGAAGAAGCACATTAAGGTCCTGGAGTGGCCTAGCCAGTCTCCAGACCTTAATCCCATAGAAAATCTGTGGAGGAAGCTGAAGGTTCGAGTTGCCAAACGTCAGCCTCGAAACCTTAATGACATGGAGAAGATATGCAAAGAGGAGTGGGACAAAATTCCTCCTGAGATGTTTGCAAACCTGGTGGCCAACTACAAGAAACGTCTGACCTCTGTGATTGCCAACAAGGGTTTTGCTACTAAGTACTAAGTCATGTTTTGCAGAGGGGTCAAATACTTATTTCCCTCATTAAAATGCAAATCAATTTATAACATTTTTGACATGCATTTTTCTGGATTTTTTTGTTGTTATTCTGTCTCTCACTGTTCAAATAAACCTACCATTAAAATTATAGACTGGTCATGTCTTTGTCAGTGGGCAAACGTACAAAATCAGCAGGGGATCAAATACTTGTTTCCCTCACTGTACACACCTGATGATAATTATATAGTACACTGATTACTGCAGTCACAATGTGGTTGTCCAGTCATGCATCTGGATTACAAAATATGTTTCATAATATGTTTCATACATCATATGTTTCAAAATATGTTTAATACATCATAGACAGGTGTAGTCACTAATCCTCTTTTAAACCCATAATGATTCTGCTTATTGTTAAATGATTTTATAATATATGTAATGGAAAAATTCCTATAATAGTTACCATCACTATTCCAACCTTTCAACCACACCCTGGACATCATACAGGAGCTCCCAGTACAGAATCTAAAGCCTGCGGTGGTCAAGATCTACGACTACTACCAGCCAGGTAAGTTTATATCTAACCTTCCCCAAGATGTATTTTTCCCTCTTCTTTTTAGTAACATTTAGTTAACTTGTGTTCATTTACTGAGACTTGCCTGTCTTATGGTTTTATTCAGGTGACCAGTCAGGGACAACATATGTCTTCCCTTGCAAGTAGGGGTTACTAGCTGGTGAGCTATTTTAAATATGGAATTGTTGGTCATTTTTTATAGCTGACCCATATACTATATACATTTATAAACTGGGTGGTTCGAGCCCTGAATGCTGATTGGCTGAAAGCTGTGATATATCAGACCGTATACCATGGGTATGACAAAACATTTATTTGTACTGCTCTAATTACGTTGGTAATCTGTTTATAATAGCAATAAGGCACCTCAGGGGTTTGTGATATATGGCCAATATAGGGCTATGTCTTATTTATTTATTTTTTTATTTTAACTAGGCAAGTCAGTTAAGAACAAATTCTTATTTACAATGACGGCCTACCAAAAGGCAAAAGGCCTCCTGCGGGGACGGGGGCTGGGATAAAAAAAATATATATAGTGGGGGGGGAAAGTATTTAGTCAGCCACCAATTGTGCATGTTCTCCCACTTAAAAAGATGAGAGAGGCCTGTAATTTTCATCATAGGTACACGTCAACTATGACAGACAAAATGAGAAAAAAAATTCCAGAAAATCACATTGTAGGATTTTTAATGAATTTATTTGCAAATTATGGTGGAAAATAAGTATTTGGTCAATAACATATTTTTAAGTGGGAGAACTTGCACAATTGGTGGCTGACTAAATACTTTTTTTCCCCACTGTATATACAGTTGAAGTCGGAAATTTACATAGACCTTAGCCAAATACAGAATCCCTGTAATCAAATCTGTCTGCTGATTGAATTACCTCGCTAGATGCATGTTGGACTTTGTGTCATGTTTTTCTTTTTTCTCCACTTGTTAAATTCATATAAAGACATTATTTCATATAAAGATACAGTTGAAGTCAGAAGTTTACATACACCTTAGCCAAATACATTTAAACTCAGTTTTTCACAATTCCTGACATTTAATCCTAGTAAAAATTCCCTGTCTTCGGTCAGTTAGGATCACCACTTTATTTTAAGAATGTGAAATGTCAGAATAATAGTAGAGAGAATTATTTATTTCAGCTTTAATTTCTTTCATCACATTCCCAGTGGGTCAGAAGTTTACATACACCCAATTAGTATTTGGTAGCATTGCTTTAAATTGTTTAACTTGGGTCAAATGTTTCGGGTAGCCTTCCACAAGCTTCCCACAATAAGTTGGGTGAATTTTGGCCCATTCCTCCTGACAGAGCTGGTGTAACTGAGTCAGGTTTGTAGGCCTCCTTGCTCGCACACGCCTTTTCAGTTCTGCCCACACATTTTCTACAGGATTGAGGTCAGGGCTTTGTGATGGCCACTCCAATACCTTGACTTTGTTGTCCTTAAGCCATTTTGCCACAACTTTGGAAGTATGTTTGGGGTCATTGTCCATTTGGAAGACCCATTTGCGTCCAAGCTTTAACTTCCTGACTGATGTCTTGAGATGTTGCTTCAATATATCCACATAGTTTTCCTTCCTCATGATGCCATCTATTTTGTGAAGTGCACCAGTCCCTCCTGCAGCAAAGCACCCCCACAGCATGATGCTGCCACCTCTGTGCTTCACGGTTGGGATGATGTTCTTCGGCTTGCAAGCACCCCCTTTTTCCTCCAAACATAACTATGGTCATTTTGGCCAAACAGTTCTATTTTAGTTTCATCAGACCAGAGGACATTTCTCCAAAAAGTACAATCTTTGTCCCCATGTGCAGTTGCAAACCGTAGTCTGGCTTTTTTATGGCGGTTTTGGAGCAGTAGCTTCTTCCTTGCTGAGTGGCCTTTCAGATTATGTCGATATACAGTGGGGAAAAAAGTATTTAGTCAGCCACCAATTGTGCAAGTTTTCCCACTTAAAAAGATGAGAGAGGCCTGTAATTTTCATCATAGGTACACGTCAACTATGACAGACAAAATGAGGAAAAAAAATCCAGAAAATCACATTGTAGGATTTTTAATGAATTTATTTGCAAATTATGGTGGAAAATAAGTATTTGGTCAATAACAAAAGTTTCTCAATACTTTGTTATATACCCTTTGTTGGCAATGACACAGGTCAAACGTTTTCTGTAAGTCTTCACAAGGTTTTCACACACTGTTGCTGGTATTTTGGCCCATTCCTCCATGCAGATCTCCTCTAGAGCAGTGATGTTTTGGGGCTGTCGCTGGGCAACACAGGCTTTCAACTCCCTCCAAAGATTTTCTATGGGGTTGAGATCTGGAGACTGGCTAGGCCACTCCAGGACCTTGAAATGCTTCTTACGAAGCCACTCCTTCGTTGCCCGGGCGGTGTGTTTGGGATCATTGTCATGCTGAAAGACCCAGCCACGTTTCATCTTCAATGCCCTTGCTGATGGAAGGAGGTTTTCACTCAAAATCTCATGATACATGGCCCCATTCATTCTTTCCTTTACACGGATCAGTCGTCCTGGTCCCTTTGCAGAAAAACAGCCCCAAAGAATGATGTTTCCACCCCCATGCTTCACAGTAGGTATGGTGTTCTTTGGATGCAACTCAGCATTCTTTGTCCTCCAAACACGACGAGTTGAGTTTTTACCAAAAAGTTATATTTTGGTTTCATCTGACCATATGACATTCTCCCAATCCTCTTCTGGATCATCCAAATGCACTCTAGCAAACTTCAGACGGGCCTGGACATGTACTGGCTTAAGCAGGGGGACACATCTGGCACTGCAGGATTTGAGTCCCTGGCGGCGTAGTGTGTTACTGATGGTAGGCTTTGTTACTTTGGTCCCAGCTCTCTGCAGGTCATTCACTAGGTCCCCCCGTGTGGTTCTGGGATTTTTGCTCACCATTCTTGTGATCATTTTGACCCCATGAGGTGAGATCTTGCGTGGAGCCCCAGATCGAGGAAGATTATCAGTGGTCTTGTATGTCTTCCATTTCCTAATAATTGCTCCCACAGTTGATTTCTTCAAACCAAGCTGCTTACCTATTGCAGATTCAGTCTTCCCAGCCTGGTGCAGGTCTACAATTTTGTTTCTGGTGTCCTTTGACAGCTCTTTGGTCTTGGCCATAGTGGAGTTTGGAGTGTGACAACACAGAGTTACATATGGGGTAAAACAAAACAAAGTCAAAAATACAACAGAAATACATATAATATACAGTGTGTGCAAATTTAGCAAGTTATGGAGGTAAGGCAATAAAATAGGCTATAGTGCAAAATAATTACAATTAGTATTAACACTGGAATGATAGATGTGCAAGAGATGATGTGCAAATAGAGATACTGGGGTACAAATGAGCAAAATAAATAACAATATAGGGATGAGGTAGTTGGGCGGGCTAATTTCAGATGGGCTGTGTACAGGTGCAGTGATCGGTAAGGTGCTCTGACAACTGATGCTTAAAGTTAGTGAGGGAGATAAGTGTCTCCAGCTTCAGAGATTTTTGTAATTTGTTCCAGTCATTGGCAGCAGAGAACTGGAAGGAATGGCGGCCAAAGGAGGTGTTGGCTTTGGGGATGACCAGTGAGATATACCCACTGGAGCGCAGACTACGGGTGGGTGTTGCTATGGTGACCAATGAGCTAAGATAAGGCAGGGATTTGCCTAGCAGTGATTTATAGATGGCCTGGAGCCAGTGGGTTTGGCGACGAATATGTAGTGAGGACCAGCCAACAAGAGCGTACAGGTCACAGTGGTGGGTATTATATGGGGCTTTGGAGACAAAACGGATGGCACTGTGATAGACTACATCCAATTTGCTGAGTAGAGTGTTGGAGGCTATTTTGTAAATGACATCGCCGAAGTCAAGGATCGGTAGGATAGTCAGTTTTACGAGGGCATGTTTGGCAGCATGAGTGAAGGAGGCTTTGTTGCGAAATAGGAAACCGATTCTAGATTTAACTTTGGATTGGAGATTCTTAATGTGAGTCTGGAAGGAGAGTTTACAGTCTAACCAGACACCTAGATATTTGTAGTTGTCCACATACTCTAGGTCAGACCCGTCGAGAGTAGTGATTCTAGTCGGGTGGGCGGGTGCAAGCAGGGTTCGGTTGAAGAGCATGCATTTAGTTTTACTAGTGTTTAAGAGCAGTTGGAGGCTACTGAAGGAGTGTTGTATGGAATTGAAGCTCGTTTGGAGGTTTGTTAACACAGTGTCCAATGAAGGGCCAGATGTATACAAAATGGTGTCGTCTGCGTAGAGGTGGATCTGAGAGTCACCAGCAGCAAGAGCGACGTCATTGATATACACAGAGAAAAGAGTCGGCCCAAGAATTGAACCCTGTGGCACCCCCATAGAGACTGCCATAGGTCCAGACAACAGGCCCTCCGATTTGACACATTGAACTCTATCTGAGAAGTAGTTGGTGAACCAGGCGAGGCAGTCATTTGAGAAACCAAGGCTATTTAGTCTGCCAATAAGAATGCGGTGGTTGACAGAGTCGAAAGCCTTGGCCAGGTCAATGAAAACGGCTGCACAGTACTGTCTATTATCGATCGCGGTTATAATATCGTTTAGGACCTTGAGCGTGGCTGAAGTGCACCCATGACCAGCTCGGAAACCGGATTGCATAGCGGAGAAGGTACGGTGGGATTCGAAATGGTCGGTGATCTGTTTGTTGACTTGGCTTTCAAAAACGTTTGAAAGGCAGGGCAGGATGGATATGGGTCTGTAACAGTTTGGATCTAGAGTGTCACCCCCTTTGAAGAGGGGGATGACCGCGGCAGCTTTCCAATCTTTGGGGATCTCAGACGTTACGAAAGAGAGGTTGAACAGGCTAGTAATAGGGGTTGCGACAATTTCGGCGGCTAGTTTTAGAAAGAAAGGGTCCAGATTGTCTAGCCCAGATGATTTGTAGGGGTCCAGATTTTGCAGCTCTTTTAGAACATCAGCTGTCTGGATTTGTGTGAAGGAGAAGCGGGGGGGGGCATGGGCAAGTTGCAGCGGAGGGTGCAGAGCTGGTGGCCGGGGTAGTGGTAGCCAGGTGGAA